CAAGTGTTTTCCGTCAATTGAGATACCCTTGTCCTGCCATGGTAACTTTTTAAATATGTCCTCTAGGGCCTGTGTACTGTGTAAACAGCTTAGGGTAGTCACCCTCCTCCCAAGTAACATTTTTCCGTCTTCCAACGTTATTTGCAACTATTTCAACGTCAGAATAGGTTCATATATTAGTCGTATTACGACTTCACAGTTTCAGTCGCAGTACAACGTCGGCACAACGATGTTTCGACCACGCAAGCCGCCTACGAAAATTAAAATAACTTACGAGTAATTTGCCAACGTTGGCGTGACGTCCTTTCTTGACTAAAATATTGAAAGTTTTTTTTGGACGTCGCTACAACGTCGCCATATAACCTATTATGGCTAGGTGAGCTTTGCTATAGTAGGCAACGTTGGTCGGACGTTGTCATTCGACTAAATTTAAATATGCGGCACTAAGTTTTCCGCCAACGTTGGGTTCGACATCGGTAAATTTACCAATATTGATTAAACTCTAACAATGTACACAAAATAAAATGACCCAACTTTTTTTAAGGGTTATTTTAATTTTCATAAATTTTAATTTCGAATTACCTTCTTGTGAATTAAGTACCCATACGTGAATAAAAATAATGGAAAGAAAGCGAAAGCCATTTAAGCATTTCACGGCATTTTATAGAAAAAAGAGAATTTTAAGTAATAGCAGGATTGATCGCTAATGATCGGGTGAATCGGATTAGTGTTTCCAAAAACCTACTATGTCCGATATTTGATATACAATTAAAGTCTGAGGTCCATATCAACGCGAGATTTACTGAAAACTCCTCTCCATTGGTCGTAATCGACATTCGTCCGTGAAAGGTAGGCTAGATGTCGCGATTATTTTTATGAACAGATTTCGTATAAAAGAATCTACATATTGTGACTTGAGGTCGCCGTAAGTGAAAACTAGGGATTATTTATCTGACCAAAGATTGGGCATAGTCAGTTTTCGTGCAATTTTCGTCGCTTTCGACATCAGCTGTTTCGGCCATTATATTGGGTATTTGACCGACGATAACCCCCTTGTTGATATTTTAGATTAATTTTAATTTTACAGTGAACATCGGCAAAATTAGTCATTTATAGTGTGTTTTTCACAATTGTTCATCAAATAGGAGCTTCACAAGTATCTTTAAGCCCATATTAAACAAAAAATTAAAATTGGGAAATTAAACAAAAATTGATAGGTATTTTTCTAAATTTTATTAATTTTTGGGGAGGCGGTTGTGTTTTTAGTCCTACTTTAGTTATTTTTATCAATAAAGTCACCTGCGTTTATGAATTTTGACCGAGGAACTTGTGAAATGCACTAGAAAGTTACAAGAACCTATATATTACAACGGAATAAAATAGTTGACGTCACTTTGTGTTGTTATGGTTCCAAAATAATATATCCACATTTGGTAGAAAATAGGGAAAAATCTTTAGACCAATTTTTAAAATAGTACAGTTTAGGTATAATTAATTAGATCTTCCTGACTTTTCAAGTCGGAAATGGTATAGCATTCCCAATGTCAAATTACGTAGTGTTTAGGTCGGCTTAAGGACTCAAAGTCAGATTCCGACGTCGAATCGACTGAAATTTCATTCCCCATTTTAGTAAAATTTTGGTCGTCAGGAAGTCCTACGGACGTCGCATGCCGACGTCAGGTAGAACATTTTTAACGTCATATTACGTCAAATGACGTCGGATTGTCACCTGGGCTCTATTTGATAAAATTTTCTCAGTGGTTAGTTCATCGTTGATCTTCACTTACATTGTAGCATTTTCATATGCATGACTTATTATTCTGGTGTATCTAGAATTGATCCTCTCATTATGCATAGCATCTAGAACTGCTCATGTTTCAACAGAATCAAACGTCTTGTATTTAATAATCGACAAAAGCTAGATGTAAAGGAATGTTGTATTCTGTACACTTCTAGATCAAGATTCGTATACTCTATATGTGATCAATCGTGCTGAAGCCTTTCCGAAAACCTTCTTGTTCAACTGGCTGGTAGAAATCAAACTTAGCATTTAGTCTGTAAGTATTTTCATCAGCAGAGCTTATATAAGATAGACAGCAAAGTAATAGGGCGGTAATTCTCCAGGTTAGTGGCATCTCCCTTCTTAACTTCGGCGTTTTGCCAGGCTTCGGGAATTTTTTCTTTCTCTAGACATTTATTTAGTATAATGAGGATGACTTTTTCCAATGTCTTCCCTCCGATTTTAATCTCGCTCATAATTCCATCATCTCCTGGAGCTTTTTTGTTCTGCAGCTGTTCTATTGCGGTTCTTAACCAGGGGCGGATGGGGTAGGTCGGACTAGCCCTGGATTTCTCAAGCGTATCGGCCCTGAATTTCTCAAACCTACCGGCCCTTTGAGCCGGAGAAAGCAGGAAAACTGTATGCCTAAAATAAGTTCGTCGAAAAACCGCGGATTTTTTCGGGTGCACGCCCAAAAACGTTTATTTTGAAGGGGGTGTAATCCAAAAGTAGAAAGTCTTAGTGCAAAAGCATCTAAGGATATATATTCAAACCGCATCTTGCTAAGATGAACCGTTTCCGAGTTAGGGCGGTTTAAAGTTACGCCTAGGCTGTGACGTCACACGGGCTTTAGAGTCACAGTATTAAATATTAATACGTGTGAGAATTATCCAAAACGAAAGTCAACGACCTCATTAGAAAGCGAATTGCAACCAAAGTATAGGGCACGGTTCACTGACGACTGATTAGCAGAGGGCTGCGATTTCGGCGATTAGCCGGTGTGACATTGCAAGCTCCCGCAAAATTCATCTTCATAAGGGATTTTCTTGAATACTATTTTGAATATAAGACTGCGGTTTCCACGAGAGACGGAAAAGATCTTAAATTTTTTCCTAATTTAAGTAGCTCAAGTTGTTTTTTGGGTCCCTTCAAAGCTCACACCAAAAACCACAGATTAAAGCAGGACGCGCACTGAATCGACTCGGACCGGTCGACTCGGCGAAGAGCATTCGGTAGTTTTTGATACTCATGCAATTAAATGAGACTCCGCGCACGGCATCGGACTCGTCGACTCGACGTGGTCGACTCGAGTCTCATTTAATTGCATGAGTATCAAAAACTACCGAATGCTCTTCGCCGAGTCGACCGGTCCGAGTCGATTCAGTGCGCGTCCTGCTTAACCCGTCCTAAAGATAGGAAACTTCCATGTAAAATTTTCGTTCGGAGCTGTCTCGCAAATAACACGTGTGGAGCTTCATGACTGCCAAAGCTATGCGGCGCTAGTGGGAGGCAAAGGCGAAACTTTTTGAAAGCCACGCTCAAAATAGCTATTTATGCAATAAGTATGTAGAGTAAACCTTCACCAATAGTGGCCCATGGTACCCTGTATATAGAGAGGGATACCTATGAGTTTTGGAATGGCCAGTCAATCGTGGCCTGAGCGGTATGGTGGGATTAAAAAGTAGGACTGGGCAACAAAAGTAAACTGGAACTGGTCCCCGTTCTTGATGATATAACAATTCAGAAGATAATATTATTGGAGCTGACATTTTTGACGAGGGCAAATACCCCTACCGGCGTTGAACTACACTGTTTGGTCTGAGCTTTCGTTGGCAATGAAAAACTTCCTAACAATTTTCATTGCCAACGAAAGCTCAGACCAATCAGTGTAGTTCAACGCCGGTAGGGGTATTTGCCCTCGGAGTAGTTGTTTCTGATTGGTCAACGAAGTTCATTTCCTGTTAAGCTCATTTTATCTTGTGCTCTGGGATACTAGATCGAAATATGATTTCAAGATCCACCCTTTAGACATGAGCACCACTCAGATTTTCCATTCTCCTATTTTACTCTGATCGGAATTAGGTAAACTTATTCCATGAAATTTTTAACTTTGTCTGATTCTGTTTTTAATCTGATGATTACTAATTTAGAAGTTTTTAAGAAAATGGCAAATTGTTTGATCCGACACTTTCCCTAATGACATAAGGTCTGTTTCTGCAGAAATCACAAACCAGTCAAAGCGAATTTCATTGGTTGAAAACAGTCAGAAACAGTCAGAAAACCAGTTTCAACCAATGAAATTCAGTTTAACTGGTTTGTGATTTCTGCAGAAACAGACCTATAGAAACATTCAGAAACATCTTAAAAACGTATTTGATTTTGATTGGATGTCAGAACGTTTTAACGCATATTTCAAACGTCATATAGACGTCGAACATGGAAGTTTAAAAAAATTTAAATGCCTTGATACGAACGTTTCGAAAATGTTTTGAAAAATTACATTTTTAGAACGTCCACTCAAAATATCCAAGGACTCCTAATAGACTTTTTCATAGTGCAAATGTCACAATTACAAACACTTGCAAGTTTCAATTTCAGTGCTATTTGATAGGAAAAGGTGATAAATTTACCTTTACCTTTGGACTACGGATCCCGAAATTTATATATTATCAAAATCTTTGGTATTTCTTTCTATGAAACCTAATATCCTTAGCGCTTTATTCTTACAATCATCGATATGATAATTAAAAACTCAGTTTGGAGTTTACAATACACCCAAATCCCTAATAATATCTACCTTCTCTAACCGGTGTTTATATGATAAAAGTAATTTTTTTTCGTTGAGGATTTTTAAAACTTGATCTTACACCTTTCAACAACTGAGAAACATTTTATTTGAAATGCACCAACTATGAAAACTGTTTAAGTGAATCTGAAGATTGCACAATGCTCAGTTTTGATAGCCTTATGAACCTTTAAATCATCAGCATACAGTGCAAATTCGGAGAACTTGAAGCAGGACTGGACGTCATTTATAAAAATAGCATGTAGACATCGAAAATGGATGTTTTCAAAACGTCTTAAGTTGAACTAATTGAGATATGAAGACGCATCTACTGACTACGTGAGTCGCGCTGATGTTATTCTTTACCGCCCTATTTACGTAGTTCCGTAAATTTAATTTTCTTGGTTTCGTTTTAATTCTTCAATTTTCTTCCAGGAAACGTGAAAACATCCCTATTACAAGGAAGCAAATTCAATGTGACGTGGCACTTGGGATACCCTCACAAGGTAAGAACTATTCACACAAAAAACTTAGTTGGTCAAGTGAAAATTAAACCATACCTACTAACAAAAACAATAATGGAAAGTCCGATTAAAATAGAAACAATTAACGTTCTAATTGCCTAGATTTCTGAGGTAATCAAGGCACGTAATGAACTCATTACAGGCTTAAAACCGTTCGTTCTATAAGGCCTTGTACGATTTATTTGCAACTATTTGATATTTTTCCGTAACAAGGTTAATGAAAACGAAAACTGACATGTTGAATTTAAATTACTTAGTGATTTTTGTTTCTAGGGCGGATTTAAAATTCAACTCTTGGACGAACTAGAGAGGCCAGTATTAGATTTAACTCCCAGCGTTCAAGGTTCTGAGTTTATTGCAAACGATGCAGCGTAAGTAGTAGACAATTAAGTAATTAAAACATTTGCTTTGAGAATCAAGAAGACGAGCCTTCTAGAACAATAGAACAAATTTCGTAATGTACGGACAAAACCCTTGACAACTCTTTTTTTTACCATTTTATGTTCTAGAAGCCTCTTTTTCCTCTCGGAACACTCCCAAAAATATCAAACCCAATTTTGGGACTGTTTTAAGATAAACCTAATAGGTAATACAAATTCTCTAGTGCCCAAACCTACCAAGTACAACTCGACCCGAATTTCGCCTGCACCAATTGCACCTTAAGACTGTTGCGTCAAGCCCTAGAATGGGGCAAAGACTACAAATTCTGGTCATGCGCCGACGTCGACATCAAACCGCGAAAAGTATTCCGCGAATCCTGCAGCAACCACGGTCGTTATTTGCTGGGCAGGTGCAAATGCGACCGGCTCTACTACGGCTCCGTTTGTCAATTTAGAGACGAGTGTTTGGAGAATAGCGACTGTGGCGCCCAAGGAGTTTGCGTGGACGTCGAAGCTACCACAGCACCACGTAGACAATGCTATTGTCAATTGGGTTGGTTCGGACCTGGATGCAACAAACGTACGGATGATTTTTGTATTATATTTTGTTTTGTCACACAATTGTAAATTCTAGGCTCTCCTGTAAAATCTACCGAAATCGATTTCGACCTCTACACAGAAAAAAAGCTCTCCGACACATTCAAACTCTATTGGAGAATTCTCAAAGAGCATCGGGAACTGGAGGCCGTCATGGTGGTGAACGGAACCAGCTACGCAGCTCTGGGCTGGAGACCTCGTTCATTAACAACAAGCTGCAAAAATTTCCCGCAAATCGGCCCTGCAGGTGCCTCCGTCTCAAACGGAGAGCCCAAAAGCGAGCCGGAGCCTGAACCTAAAAGCGAGCCAGAACCTGAACCTACAAGTGAACCAGAACCAACTGCAGAGCCTGAACCGACGACAACGGAAAAATTCAAGAAATCTACTTATAATCGGAGATCGGCCGCCATTCCAACACCAGCGATTTATAAAGATGTGGACAAAGTAGAAACTAGTGTTTCGTATCAAGTTAGTAAAAGTTCAGGTGAGAATCTTTATCATAGGCATCACTTGAAATCCTTCAACTTATTTACTTTGTCTCTTTTTTCTTTTAGGCAGAAGCAAAAGAGACACAGATAAAGGTAATTGTACGATTTAAAATTCTAGTGCCTATAGGGTGTACTTTTAACGGTGACGGTACTTCTATTTAGATTCGGAAGAACCTGCAGCTGAACCAGAGCCGACATCAGAACCGGAACCTACCTCAGAACCCGAACCAGAACCCAAATCCGAACCAGAACCCAAATCCGAACCAGAGCCCAAATCCGAACCAGAACCTAAATCCGAACCAGAACCTACCTCAGAACCAGAACCCACTTCAGAGCCCACTGCCGAACCCGAACCGACTTCAGAGCCGGAACCTAGTTCTGAGCCTGAAGCGACCACGATAACCTATTCCTTCCGACATGCCAACCTAAATTCTGATCCCTCCGCTGAGCCTGAACCTTCCTCGGAACCTGAACCTTCCTCAGAACCTGAACCTTCCTCAGAACCTGAACCTTCCTCAGAACCTGAACCGTCTTCCGAGCCCGAACCTAGTGCGGAGCCTAATGTTAAAACGCACTCTAGCTTAGAAATTACGGCACCCAAGAAAGATAAGGGAAATAGTGAAGGTAATGGAAATAACATTGATTTAGTTTTAACTCGTATTCAGTTCAAATGCGAGTCACTTACTAAACTAACGGTGATTTTTGTAAAATATTTTGTACAAAATTGTTGGATCCCGGCCTTCATTTTAACTATAGTAGGCTCAATTTTTATCCACGTAAGCTACAGTTTCCTAGTATAGCGGTACCATATGAACGATCGTAACATGGCGGCCAAAATGGTTAACGAATATTCGGCCGTTATAGTGTTGACCACTGATGTGAAATTGAAGTACATGAGCACATGCTCTACACTTCAGCCTTGAAAACTTCTTGTGTCTCATTGTATGGACTCTACTAACGAGATTCCCACTGTCCCTATCCACATTACGATGCAGGTTGGTTCGCTAGTGCAATATTGTTAACACCCACTGAACTGTCGTGTCTACCATCTCACGATAGGGGAAGGAGGGAGGAGCTCTCGAACGATCCCAGAAATCTGGGCAAAGTTCCTGAGCCTCTCTCCAGAAAGATGGTAGCGATATCGCCTCGTCCTCTGTAAGAAGAGGGGAACTCTACGAATAATTCCAGATAATCTGGCTGAAAGTTCGATGAGCCCAGCTTCCCGGTTGATGGGGTTTTTCTTCGAACCGTATCGTCCGGTCGAACGAAGACTGGGACACGGCCGAGGGTTAAAGGTCTAACCTGAGTTATACCTGTAGTCTCACTAGTTGGCGCGAGCCAAGGGCCCCTAATGTCTACCCTATTCCAGTATATCTGGGTAACGCACGACTGGGGTGTTCCGAAAACTAGTAGGGAGATACCTCGATCCCAGACGTTATCAAGGGAAAGAGGACTCATAGTCCAAGAGTCCAGAGCCGCCAGACACAACTTATTTTCTAAAGGACAGAATATCGCACGGGCCAAACATCCCCCCAGACGCAATAATAATTTTCCCATGGGTGTGAGCGCGAGGGTACTATGCATGCGTTTGAGAGTGAGCGAGATATCTTAGTCAACTGATTTCCCCCTCTTAAACTTACAGTCTACTCCAGGCTAGAGTAGAAATGGGATTCGGTTTTTCCCATAATGGGAAAAACCGTTATTTACAAATAACAGTCAATTGGCCGTCTACCCAACTTAGCGAGTATACATACGTTTATAGTACCTATAAGTGCTACTCAATCCCACATATTCTGTCCTTTAGAAAATAAGTTGTGTCTGGCGGCTCTGGGCTCTTGGACCATCACCTAGTTGGCCGATTTAACACAAGGAATACGGTGCTAGGTCGACCACATCCCTGCACCGGTTGTTACAAATTAATTTGAAAATTTGTTACTTTAAGACAAGATAACCTAGGGTCGTGGAATTCAAAAAATTAAGGTAACGTGTAGTCCCTTTATGTGCAAATGAAACCACTCAAAATCCAACAAACAATAATTTTATTTGATATTTAACAATGTTATATGTGACATAGAGTAACAGTAAATGTCACTGTAAAATTTTAGTGTTGACAGCTTGGTGTTTCCGGTGAATCTGACACCATATACCTTTCCAATCAGGAGCTCTTCAATGGGTGTTGGGGTTTCACTTTCGTGAACTGGAGCTCTTCGGGTTCCAGCTGATCCAGACTCCAAACTGTGATCTTTATGTCGAGTAGGTACCCAGAAAAGAATAAGGCAGTACGGGTTCACCAATATTTGGAATATTAAATGTTCTATTGAAAACTTTTTACTGAATTTTTGATCTGTCTGGATTTCTATTAAAAAATTACACCCTTTAGTTAAAATAATAACTGAGGGAGTCAAACAGAAAATGGCTATTCAAGCCTCTGCCTGGATTCAGCAAAGAGTTGATAGGGATGGACACACAAATTTGGTTTTCACCGACTCTATTTAGAGCAAATGGTTCCCACACTAACAATTGATTCTGACAACCAGAGCAGCAGTACCTTTTTTAAAATCAAAAAATCTGAATTGACTTACCTCAGATAAACGTGGCACTACCAATCGACACACACAAAATAGAAGCCAACAATTAGATAAAAAAAATTAAAATATAATATTTATATTTCAAGAACAGATAAGATAAGATTTATCAGGTAACAACTTAATAATGATATGATATATTCATAGTAAAATACCTATATTGAAAAATCTATAAGGGAGTATCCAAAAACTATATAAGAGCAAAACTTATTCAAAATAAAGAGGACTTGTCTGCCAGACTTCTGTTCAGGAAAGAGAGCGTTTTAGAAACCAAAGCCCACAGGAAAACGATTCTGTGTTTTTTTATACTTAACTGTATTTTAACCAGTTCAACCAATCAGACGAGTACACCCAAAAGGTCATATTCACTTCACAATGAAATCACAATGAAAAACCGCGTGGAATAAAAGAGAAAAAATAAAAATCCACTAGAATTATTTTAATTGTTCTTTGAAAAATAATTCCAACAGGTACTAGATTGCAGTACTGGTAAATGAATAAAAGATATTTGCATTTTGCGCAGATGATGGATAGATGGCAGCACTTGTATTATTTTGAACTTTGTGGATATTTTAGATTATTTTGCTGATTCTGAAATGGAAAAAATACGACTTTATAATGAAAATAAGAAGAGATGAAACATGTTACGTAAATGATAAATTTATCGTAACACGGTAGAAATGCTCGCCGCTGCGCTGATTCCAGAGTTCGTGGTTGAAAGGCACAAGCGTGTACCTATTACTTGATATGTGGTAGCTACTTATGAAAGTGAGTACCGAACGGCGACTCGTTAAACGTTGCTGGGGAAACCTGGCTAACACGAGTACCCAGGGGAAAGGCCAGCCCAGCCAACTTGGTGCCTTTCATAGGTCTTGTTCTATGGAGGGCAAAGCGGCTAACTAGTTTAGTGGGTAATGCCCGGGACTGTGGGAGGCTAACACTACGTCACAACCTCTTGAGGAATGTATGGACCCTACTTCTTCCCATCGTCCCGTACTACTGCGGTTACCCATTCAATCTCCATCCCAAAACCACGTTGCTTGGCCTGCGTAGGAAGACTTGCGTCCTCCAAGTACCAACGTGCCGGTCGCTTTAATACGGTACCGCTATCCTAGGAAACCGTAGCTGTAGTATAGGAAGATCTACTATATTGCGAATTTTTAAAATTTTTAAATTTCATCAAAACTATTAATTTAGGTAAAGGAAATTTAAATCCCTGGACGCCAAGGCACGATTTCAGTCCTATGGATTGTACCGATATTATTATCGGTTCCGCACGTGGCACCGCCAGCAGAATCAACGATTATTACACTAGAGATCGGTAAGTACCTAATTACATTACAATCAAGTTTATAAAATGGCATTACAATAACAGCTCTACTCCTCGTATGGATAATTTCTGGGGCGGCAAAAACGACCTGACAGCCGCCATGGGTTTCGAAAAAGACGGAGTGACTACCATTTTGTTTAGAAAAAAATTAGACGCCACGGAACCGTCGGATCACAGCATCGAAGAGGATCTTATGCACGTGATTTTCGCACAAGGGCAAGAAAGAGGCAAATACGTGCACAGGCCCGCATCGGGGGTGGAAACTTCGCAGGAAAACGACTTTTATAAGCCGGACGAGCTCAAGTACCACGGTCACCGTCAACAGAGAGGAGTCGTGTCTTTGAACTTTTTCGAAGAGAAGAAAGACATGGTTCCTAATGGGGAGGAAGCGACAAGCGACACTGTGCAAAATACCGACTGTAGCGGCGAATGGAAAGTACCCAAAGGTTGTGATCCTGCTAATTACACTTGCGAATATTCTGCCAGATGGGAATTTGTGCCTAGGAAGGATGAAATACGGTAATTTTTTTTGAATCATAGATGAATTCAGCACCATTTAGTGGATGAAGAATAAATGACGTAGTTGGTACCTCTGAGGTTGGTAGTATGGACCGTAATTTGATAGTTTGTGACGCAAATAATGGGCAATTTTCCTCAACGATAATCAAGCGCGTTCTTTGATAAGACGCATGCGCGGTATGTGCGATTCATCATAGGAAGGTGGCGCTGTATGTTTTCTAATGAATTTACAAAGTCTCACTTCACTTTTGCAAATTCATACTTCACTTTTGCAAGTTCGTGGAGCCTTTTTGTTGAGGGTAGTATGAAACATAATTCACGTTGTAAATTACGCACTCGTCACGGTACGAGGCTGCATGGCTAATTTATTATTCGTGCGTAATTTGTTTCTTACGAAACTCATTACGTAATGTGCTATGATGCCACATACTTTGACATTTCTGGATCGTCACTGATGAGATTACGGTTCACTTACAGTCCCTAGATTTTATCAAACGATTGTCTTTTTCATAGGGGTGGCTAAAAACAACAGTGTTGTAAGATCTGCAACTCCGAATTTCCACCACAGATCGGATCTTCTCCAAGTACTTAATTAAAATATTTATTTTATTAGAATAATTTAGTGAATTTAAGGGAAAATTGTAAGTACACGTAGAAAAATTGAAACTTATGTATATAATTTGATCTGTATTGGAAATTCTGAGGTTGTTAAAAGCCACGTTGTCTTCTATAATATTCTTTAAATAATTTTTCTTTACTGTTACTAGTTTTTCAATAACGACAAGTAACGTGGACACCTGGACAGGCATCGCCTTCTCCAACGACGAAAGAATGTCTCAAACCGACGCCATTTTGGGTTGGGTAGATAAAACCGGACGTCCCTTCCTCATGGACACTTGGATTACTGGCTATACTCAGCCGTTCTTGGACAGCAACCAAAACATATACAATACCAGCGGACGCGTAATCAACGGAGTGACCACATTGTCGTTTACGAGAAAACGAAACACTAACGACGCTAAAGATTGGGCTTTCACGGACGAACAGTGTTTATTTATCATGTTCCCTGTCAAAGGAGGCGCTTTTAACAGTGTCAATAAGAAGATAAGAAAACATGAAGTGCTGCCAGTGGTCAGTACTGAGAGGATTTGTATCAGGTCTTGTGGCAATGGTAAGAATTTTGTTGATACCATAAGAAAGCCTACTATGTTTTTTTTTTTTAGATGACATTTACGATTCTCAAACTACAACAGAAGCTCCAGGACTTGGCTACATGGTCAAAGTGAAACTGGTCGAATTAGGTGAAAACTTTGTCGCACCCAAATCGGGTACTATCGAGTACGAGGATTTGAGTAATTCGATCTCCAACAATTTCCTGCCGGTATTTAGAGGGTTGCCAGGCTATCGACGCGTGGTTGTTGAAGATTTAGAAACGTAAGTTCACGTTGGCCTAATATAATAACGATTTGTATATTTAAAGTATAATTATTATAGCGAAAACAACAACATTGTCGCAGTGATGAACCTTCAATTGGACAAAGCGATGGCCGAAAAGGGCAGATCGCTGACAGAAGCTGAAGACACTGACGAGCAAGTCCATAAAGTTATACAGGAAAGCGTGGGATCCGGGAAAATTGGAAATTTGAAAGTAGATCCGCAATATTTGGTGTTTGAACCGCAAAGCTGTAAGTAGGATGATTTACGAAGCAAAATTACCTACAAAAAAAAATCCTTTTAGTGACAACCAATTTGATTCCCGACTCTGATGGATCGACGATCAGTTCAGGATTCTTCGACATGCCCTCGACGAAACTCTACATTGTGCTGGGCTGTATCGCCGCCCTGGTTTTGGTGGCTCTGGTACAGGCCGGCTGTACGGTGTACAGAGCGACAGGACGCAGAAACGCTAACCGTCACAAGGTAACGTCTTTATGAGCCGACAGACCGAAAGTATCGCCTGGCTGCTTTTGAACAAGTACAAGTACGTCACAATACCCTTTAATAATTAGGACATTAGTGTCGTTTTTTTTTAGAGGCGGTTTAGCGATGCTTTTTGGTAATTGAAAATGTTTATTGTCAGCAACAGAATAATGAGGTTATGTTGCTGTGTTTCACAGGTTGAACATAATTGGTTTTGGTTCATTTACCATCAAAGATCTAATAAACTTCGGTGCAACACTACGCTGTTTGAAAGATGCAGTTCAGCTTATATGGCAATAAAGTCGTTTATTAGGTCTTTGTCTAACACATATACATATAATATAAATTTACTAACTAGAGTGGGGGGTAAATACTTTCAGAGGGTGTACAGCGTGGGCATGCAATCCCCGGACCCCCGTTATTTCTACGAGCCCCACCAAGAGTATGCTAACCGTTACTGTAACGACAGACGCGACCGTTACAGTAACGGAACGCATTGGCAGCAAAGAGGAGTGTGATTTAAATATATGTGCGGCCATGGTGGGGTGAGTTTGACATTTGACAGAATATACGATGCACGTTGCACCAACTTTATTGTTTTGGCACCTTTTTAAGCACTACCTACTTTACAAATATTTTTATGTCAAAGTTGTCAAAACGATTTTTTTGGTTGGTACTAATTGATGACTTAATTCAAAAATGTCCTGCTCTCTTGCTTATGCCTATAAAATAATACAGGATAGAAAAGAAGCTGATTCGACTCGATATGTCGATATACAGTCATGAGCACAAAAAGTAGGACACCCGACTGACAGGTTTTGTCATTTTTCGCTATTTTGCGTAAATCAGTCTTTTCTCTATAATCGATTTTTTGACAAATATGATAATCCCTGTCATTGTCGTAGGTATAGCTGGTGAGCCCGTTTTACAATAGGAAAAATCGGGTGTCCCATTTTTAATGCTCACGACTGTAAAACATACAGTCGTGAGCACAAAAAGTCAGCAATGACAGGGATTTTCATATTTAACAAAAACTCCGTTGTACAGAAAAGAGTGATTTACCAAAATAGCGAAAAATGACAAGACCTGTCAGTCGGGTCCTACCTCAATCGGGTCAGTCGGGTGCTCACGACGGTATAAGTTTTAAGCCGGAGTTTCATACATCCGTTTTCCGACGTCCGATGTCCCAAAAACCTTCTGACATATTTTCATACGATTATGTCGGAATAGAAGGTTTTTCGGACATCGAACGTCGTAAAACGGATGCATGAGACTCCGGCTTTAGAATAGTTATGAAAATGTCAAAAACAGAATGACCCTGCGTTTTTATTCTCATCAAATTTTACCGATGGATCCATCTTTCTATGTCGGCCATTATGATTTTTCATTCAGTAAACAAAGATAATGTGCGTTTTTATTCTCATCGGTGGCTTCACCGATGAATTAGCTATCTTTATTTAGTGAATGGAAAATGACAATGACCGACATAGAATGGTGGATCCATCGGTAAAATTTGATGAGAATAAAAACGCAGGGATAAGCTAACTCATCGGTGGAGTCACCGATTAGAATAAACACAAGGGGATACTGGTGCATTGACTGATGTAGTAGGCTGATAATCTGTCCTTTATTGCACTACCATTAGAAAGAGAGCAATATATTTCTTAACAATGCCGATTTTGTGTACTAAAAAAAATTTAACATCAATTATGGGTAGTTGCACCAACAATTTCTGATCTTGGTTTAACATTAATCTTGGTTTAAATCAAAGAAATCCATTGCACCGTTTCTTGAACAAAGTTTAATTTGATTTGAACTTGGTTCAACTTAAACGGTCATGTTTGATGGTTTAAAGGGAAGTTTTACTAATTGAATGCGTAGAAAGGAAATTCGCAAAGTGAAATGACATGCCGTCTGTCGTTGTTTACGGCATATGTTCATGTTGTGAGAATTTCATTATTTATTATTATGTAGGTAGATATTTGATTTTTAAATTCAATAATCAATCTCGATCGAAATATCTGTGCAAAATAGAATATACGGCAATGAAAAACAAGACACTTGGAAGGAAATAATACAGAAGTATAAAGTATAACAGTGCAGGGCCTTCTTGTCCAAGAGCTGTAGAATGTTTGAAACTTTGCTAGCTACGAAAATAGAGAAAATTATAGAGAGAATCAGTTTTTTTTTTTTTCAATAATGATCTTGTATTTTGCCATAATATTAATTAGTATAGTAGGAGAGCTTTATCGTTGTTGGTAAAATTGGCTCATCTCTGTTTCACTTGTGCTATTAGTGGATCTATTTTTTCAAATGAAGCGAATTAGCAGAAAAAAACTACAAAATACAAAGGGTTCAGTCACTGCTTCGATTCGGAAAAACTTACAAAAAATAATTCGCTTTCTAGGTTATATTTTCTATTTTTGCTTTCACATTTGACAAATTTTCAACATGTTTGCCAACCTAAACGTAAAAAATCCTATAAATTACTAGTTTAATCAAACCGAGCTTAGTTGTGTGCCATGCAACGTCAGGTCGAATGATCGAGGTTTATTTTTGAATCCCAGTTTTATTAAGCTTAGATTAATGGAATCTTGGTGCAACTAGCCATTAAAGGTGTTTAACCGGACGGTCATAGCCACAGCTGACAGATAACCAATGAAGCAAATGGCACTATATGGCATTTGTCAACCAATCGGTATTAAGGCTGTGGTCCGAATATAACCAGGGTTGTGGTTTCGTGGTCCGAGAGCAATCAACTTTCTCTGGTACCTGAAAAAGTGGTTACTTTTTGGATCTCGGTTTCCTGAAATCATGATTGCTTGTTGTGACTGTACGAAGACTGTACGCGATAATTAGTTCGTGGGAGACATCATGAAAGCAGAATTCTACTCGTCGTGATCCCAGCCCTTGATTATAATTTGGTTTCAACTAATGCATTTCCGCTGTCGCGGTTTTTACCAAAGTAGGGGAAGTTGTGACGTCATAGATCAGCTGATTTGCTTTTGGTATTAGGCAATCCAATCCATCTGTCAAAAAGGAAAATTCAATATGGCGTGGCTGCCAAGCAAGTTTGTTTTGAATAATGTTTTCAAGCGTATTTTAAATTATTTTGCTTAGGAGTTTTGCTTGCAACTTTGATTTTGATTATTTAATAAAATATTTGTTGTCTAGGTACCTAAACTATTAAATCGGGCAGAAACTACATATTTTTTTGTGTTTTTTGGTCCATGTGTGGCCGCCACGCCATCTTGAGTGTCACGTGGTTTGGATTGCCTAATTTACCACTTATAACCGATTATAACCTAGCTTTGGACTTAGGTTAATCTTTTGGTAACAGCTTTTTGATGTTATTGTTATTATTTTGGGGATTGGTAATATTGCATTGGTGTTTAGTAATTTTGAAGTTGTGTTGTGGGCGTTGGCGTGGCCTGGCACAATGAAAGAAGCATATACACTCAATGCAACTCACCATGTTTAGATCGAGGTTTAGATCATCCCCAAAGAAAATCTCTTCGCTAAACGAAACTAACGAGAGAGATTCCGCTCCATTTTTTGTTCCTAAACAAGAAACCATTGTTGAAACGGAAAAACAAATGAGAATAATAAACATAACCCTACACTGCTATAACCTAACCAAATCATTTCAGCGGGCAGTTCCTTGGGGTATGATTCTTGAGTGGTGGGGGGCTATGACGTCATACTTGGCTGTCAAAGTTGTCAACCAAAAAAATAATCACGGTATTTACCGATAAAGAATCTTTCCAGGCTGAAAATCGCCTCATATTCGCGTTCTCCAGATAACCGGAATTTCCAGTAGCCATCTGTCAACCGATTCAGTTACTTTGCTACTTTGGTTAACGTTTGGTTATATTCGGACCATAGCCTAAAAGTGTTTTTCCCGACCCCAGCAGTTCAAAATGTTTTTGAAATCTGTTTTGAACCTGTTTAAAAATAACGTCATTACTTTCAGTCGAGAAAAAATGAGGTTTTCAAACCAGAAGAATTTAACCATACATACCTAACCTAGGATTTTTGTTTGTTTTTTTTTTTTGGTAATTAGCCATAGCCTTTTTTCTATTTTTCAAAAAATGTAAGAGTGTTCTGTTCATGATTCTATGACCTCCTACAAAAGACACAACACAAGTATAAACATAAACAAAAACTGTCAAATTTACTAAACTAGTGCGCATGCGTTTGTTTTTGAACCGATGAGAAATCTCGTTTCAAAATATTTTCAAACAGTTTTGTTATGACGTCATTAGTTCAACGCGAAAATGTAATGTTTTGAACCTGGTTTAACCAATTTAAGCGAGAAAAAACACCTCATATGTTGTTGAATGCATCTGTCAAAATAACCGACTGATCAATCGCCTTTAATTTACTCAAGTTATATTGGAAATATATTACACTGCTGTCAGAGAGAATAGTCATATATGGTGTTCATTTATACTGCTTTTCTTGCTTCAAGCAGATCGGCGTTCATTTGTCCCACATAAAAGCTCATAAATAGCAGCTTCTAGCAGATCGTCCTGATTTTTCGAGCAGGTAGAACAAGTACACTGATTCAGTACTGAATGACATTTTGAATGCGCCAGTGACGTCATTAATATTTACTTGACGGGGATTCTAGAATCACGATTCGACACACGACTCGAAAACGAGACGATCCTAGGTTAGAATTTCATTCGAATAAATCTTTCAAAACGGCAGGGTCGTGTTGCATCTCGTTGTCGAGTCGTGTGTTGAATCGTGATGTTGGAATCTCCCTGCTGTACCTTTTTTCGACCAAAACAGTACGCTGTTGAAATCGGAACGAGTTTAATTAGTTACTCAAATAAAACTTTTCAAATTCTGGCTGAGTGTAAAGTATAAACATACACTTGTATGAATTACATCACCTGGGATTATGTCATGTATTATATCACCTCGAGGGGTTTTAGACGTCATTGGTTTTAGTTGAGCTAGCAGCACTGGGAATGCGAGTAGTAGGTCTAAGTAGGCGTGAATTTGACGTGCAGCAGCGTTGCCAGTTTTATATTTTTCATAGAAATTTCATAACCTTCGTTTACATTTCATACGCTTCATACAGTAAAGGTGCAGCTGCTGATAAGTACCATTCTAATACGAATATAATCAGGTTATCGGACTTAGTTCAGAATTAGTTCTGAATCTGCGCTTGCGCATTTGTTCATACCGAACATGTCGCTGTTACAGAAGCGTGGCATGTGTGAAAACAATAATTTTACAGGAGAGGCAAAAAGCAAATTTCAATTAATTAATTTTTAAATTTTCGAGGAGATAAATACCTATATAATCATTCTGACTAAAAATAAAACCTAACAGTATTTTTTGGACCACTTTATAAGTACGCACTAATAGACCTATCTATTTTTACCTGTATGCGCGCGCAACACGAGGCAATGCATTTTTATTGGCTAACTAGTACAGGTGTAAAATAATCCTTTTGCACGCTGGGCATCTCCTTGTCCTTGTTCATTGCCTGTGGTCTGACAAGGATAAAATTATGCTTGATATTCAACTTGACGCAGCTTGACAAGTGATCGATTTTCAATTGTTTGTGTTTTTGATTGACAGATAGGTTGCACGTCACGCGGTTTTCCTCCTTCCTTTTTTATCCCGTGCAAATAATAAGAACGGATTGCTATACGTAAGTCTAACATAATTTGGTACGTTTTGCCTCGTCTCGCGCAATAAGCGTTCTGCGTCTTTTTCTATCTAATAAAGATTCCGTATTATTACCTCTAATAAAAATAGTTTTTCTCCGAATGACAGTAAAAGTGGCCTTTTAATGACACTTGACAGGATCAAAAGTTGTATTTTTACTGCCTAGGCATTAAAAGTGACAGTGTCACAATGTTTCAGGTAATAATTTCACTCAATTTGGTATTTGAAATTGATGGTGACAATGACAATTGTCAAAATAATTTAATTATTTGGATAATAATAATGAATGAAATAAATATAAAAAAGATGTCCATGTGTGAATTTGAACATTCGGAGAAAAAATTATATGTTTTACATGGCAGAAAAGCAGATTTAATGCCTCGGCTGGTTTCCTAGCCTCGGCTATGAAACACCAGCCGCGGCATTAAATCTTGTACTTTTCTGCCTTGTAAAACAAATAACTATTTTGAAATTGATGGTGAATTTTGAATTTTGTAGTTACGTCGTTATATTTCCGACATGAAACACACTGGCGATTTCGACTACCGATGGGGGCGCTGGCGTTTGTAAACAAATATGGCGGAGAACGAGTAATATTTTGACGTTCAGCATTGTATTTATATGCATTCGTATTTCTTTCGCTAATTTTGTCGTTGTTCTCGTAGTTTTTTCGGTGGTTTTTTACTTTATTTTATAAATTTTGAACGTTGTGACTTTCTTTTGTGCATTTCGTACCCATACAACACGAAATATGGAAAATGTAGGCCTGTTTTTGAGTTTGGCCACAGTTTTATCTGCAGGCTGTCGTAGAAAGCACGATCACTATTTTTTTAGGAAAATAATGAAAATGAATAGTTTTGTCTGCACCTTTTCGGTACGTATACACAGCAGTTTGTGTTATACTTGGACCGCCTGGACTTGGAGGCAGATGCCATTGAATTCCTGTAATAATAGCACCTCACAGAATCACAATAAAAGCTTTCCCTTTATTATTTCCCACTTTTCGACACAAAACACGTAATTTAAATTAGGAACGAACAGAAAACATCAAAAAAGCAAGAAAATATTCCAATACGGTATGTAAACAAACGATCTATTACCTACTCGTTAAGTTAGTTCCAAATATTTCCGCCAGGTGCCGCATTGATTTGTGAAATCTCCAGGTTGTTGGGTAAATAACGACACAAACTGCACTTACGTCAGAATTTCATTAAAACTGATTCTACTTATTGACCCAACTGATTGATGAAGCATCGTTTCATAATAAATCTACAAAATTTTTCGAAAATCTGAAAATATTTTCTATGAGAAAAACCGAGACGAAATATTAATATTCGTTAACGAAACGAAACGCTATCTGACGTCACAATGCGTAACGAGTTAACGCTCGCAAGTACAGTGGCGCTTGGGGGATTATCTTTAAAAAAAAAACAGATTTTAGAAAAAATATGGCTAAAATGCAAGCAGGTTTTTGAAAGGCCGATTCACATAATCTGTCAACTGTGGACGTTACTATGGTATCAGAATTTTTGGTCAAGTGTCAAGACTTGAATCGAATCTGGCCCCAGTCCAGTGGTGTAAAAGTAAAACAGACGTATATTAGACGTAGGTATAGTTAAATTTTAACAGTGATATATATAGTTATTTACCTATAACAAGTGCGGAAAGTTATACTTTTCTGCACGCAACGGCATTTGCACAAACAACGCGCCAGCGGAATTTGTACAAGCCGCAAGTGCGGAAAACATACTTTACGCTCGTGTTAGGCACATTTTTTCTACGAGCATGTGGAAACGCGTCTTCACGCACCGATCTGCGTGCGGAAAGTACCACATTTCCGCACCTCGTAGGCAAACACGCACCTAAGTACCACTTTTTTCGAGTCGGCTTAACAAATTCAACTTTGTTTGGGTCTCCCATCACACACAAAGATAAATTAGAGTGAATGAAGCTTCTTGGGATAAAGCAACAGTCAGCAACATAATAAATTCAATATAAACTTGTAAACAAATCTCACCAACGCGCCAGCTGATTATTCGTTCCGCACAGTGACGTCACAAGCGCTACTCTTGCCGCAGGGGGTCGTTTTGCTAGTCTCGCTAATGTCCTTTTTTTGTTTTCGATTTATCAGAAATGATGAAGGGTTTCTAGATGTTTTAACGCTTAAAACGTGTTTTGTGGACATGTATAAACAAATACGCGAGTAACAATTCAGAACTGATTCTGTCCGAACAAACCTAATCAGGATCATTGGCGAGTTCGTGTATATCTGAATTCGTCTACGATTCTTCTATGTTCGTAAATAGTAGATGAATAACATTTTACAGGGTGACCAGCTTATAAACATTGAAACCAGATTTCTAACAAAATTAATCAACCTTTTCATTATTTCAAGGACCATCTAATCCCGAACTCTGCGTGGAAAGACTACTCGGCCAACACCAACTACGCGTTCGATTCGTACGAGCGCGAAGAGGCGGCGAAAAAACACCAGCCAAACGGTAACAACGGCCGCGCGCCGCCGCCCTCCGGTCGCCCTCGCTCGCAGCCGCCCCGGCCTCAAGGACGGCCGCCCAGCGTGCCCCCCCAAGCGCCGCCGGGCGACTCCAGGAGTCTGCAACGGCCGAGAAGCGCCGCGACGCTGCCTCCCAACGACCGGAGCACGTTTTCGTTGCCAAGGACTCAGTACGACAGGCACACGGTGGGGGCAGCGAAGGGCGGCAACATGCCGGCCGATTTTTATTTTATGCCGTCGCAGAGGAAGTATTCGGGAGAAGTTGTGAGGGTGTACGTTGATTATAACGGACAAAAACGTGAACATTAAAGATGATAGACTTTGGACACAAGTTTTTCCAGTAAGAAATCAGAAAGTTTGTAACCAATAATGAGATGTTTGTAAATTCAGTTTGAGACAATCTGATTGACTCTAGATGGTTTGTTCCAATATTTAGCACAACAGGGCTTGGACTCTGTAACGGATAAAGATCGTTATCCCCATCGCTATGGCACTTGCCGTCTTCTTCTCTCTTATCGAAATCAATAGAGAGGGAACGTCAATAAAGATAGAGAAAATATCTCTATTTGTTACAGAGTCCCAGCCCAGATTTCTCAAAAATTAGCTATTTTTGATTGTTTGTTCATAACAGGCAGAGGCGTATTATGTTAGATACCTTCAATCTAGTCTTATTTTTTCAAGAAACAAATTTTCCGAAACGAAAATGTAGCTAAAATGTACCATAACTTTAATTCTAGTAATTTAATTATTATTAATTTAGTTTGTTAATTGAAAATAGAGATTTTTACTGTTTGAATTTGACCAAATGTCTCTCCATCATCAGGTTGAGTTAATATTTGATCAAATTCAAATAGAATGGACGGTGGTCGGTGAGAGTGGTCAAAGTTATGGGCTAATCCATATATTGTGCTTGTAACTTTAACAGCCGTATTCATAGTCAATCGCCAGTGAGTCGCCGTGTGCTGGGCCAAATACGGTGACTCGCTGGCGATTGACTATGAATACGGCTGTTAGTTTTTCAGTAAGAGCATTGCATTTTTTCCCTCCAAGACTAAAGCACCTTTATTCAAGAAAATAACACAGAAATCATAACGAAAATAACAGTATTACTACAATTACAATCAAGTTTAACTTTCCTATTATAAACTTATACAATTCTCAATTAAGTAACTGATTCTTAAGACACTGGCGTTAAATTATCGCTGACTTTTCTCTGGGTGGCTGACTTCGTCTTATAGCGCGTCGTTGCTTCTAGAATTGTCTAGACTCTAGACAATTCACTTCAGTTTGTCTCAAATTCGCTGAACTATTGCGCGATATAATTCCATTGGAGAAATTTGTAGCCATTAGGCAGTGTTGCAATATTGTTCACGATTTCTCCAAATTGAGTTATAAAAGGGAAGTTTTTTAAAGGCTTTTAAAAGCCGCTGGAATAGTTTCTTGGAGCCACCTTTAAAAACATTCAACGTTCTGATTCAGATACGTTTTTATAAAACGTCCGTTTTGGATGTCAATAAAGACATTCAAAGTTGTGACTATTAGTCCAGCAGGCAAGTACTTTCTGCTGGAAAGTATTTCGAAGTTAATGATATTTTGGTTTATCATTTGTGGGTAGTTTGCGGAGTAAAATCTGAGTTTTTGACCTCGAGGACCTTGTGCTAGCTTGGGGGCAGTCGAAAAACCACGAAATTTTCGGACTTTTTCAGTTTTTTGCTTATATTTTCTAAACCATGCGTTTTAGCGGAATACACCTAGTTATAAAGTTGAAGAACATTAAATTTTCTTCAAATTTCACTATAAAAACGCATTATTTAACGCAATAGTAAGAGAGATACAGTGATTCAAAGATACAGAAAAATATTCAAAATTTCTTCCGGCCGACCACAATTCAAACCAAATATGGGATTGTAGATTTGTAGATTTCGGGGGAGTCGTTTCGGCTTTTCAGCCGCTCAGCACTGCTACCTTTGCAGATATTTCGTGCGTGACTCTACATCTTAATTTGTCTTCAGAGAGCGTAGACTGCCGAAGGAAGCTATTTTCCTGGGTGTCAGTTGACCCACTTCTTCTGGTGACAATATTGCCCCCTCGAGGAATTTGAGCCTCTTGCAGAATTGGGCTGGACATTCGCAGAGCAGGTGCTCTGCGGTCTCTATTGCGTCTGAACAGAATCTGCAGAGATCGTCTTCCGCTCTGCCTATTAACCTTAAATGGTATTTTACTGGGCAGTGTCCTGTGAGCAGTCCCACTACCAATCTGATGTCTGGTCTGCCCATGTTTAGAAGCTGTTCAGCTCTTTTTGACTGTCTGAGTCCCGGTGTGTACCTCCAATATGATGACAGTTGGGCTTTCTCCCATTTCTTGAGTTCTTCCATGATGTGGCTTTTCATTAAGCCAGTAGGGCTCTGGTCCATGGTATGGTGTTGAGGCCCCTTCCTTTGCGAGGCCATCTGCTTCTTCCTTTCCTTCTATGCCTCGATGACCAGGCAGCCACATCAGCGTTACCTGGTTATGTCTCGCTAGTGTTTTTAGGGTCTGTTTACACTCCCAGACTAGTTTTGACGTGCATTTGAAAGCCCTTATAAGGCTTTTAAGGCAGCTTGGCTGTCCGATAGTATGAAGATGTGTTTTCTTTTGAGGCTTTGGTTAAGACACTCTTGTGAACATATATCTATGGCAAGCAGTTCGGCTTGAAATATTGTAAGATGTTTACCCAATGCCTTGGAGAGCTTGAAGTTAGGGCCGGAAATGCCCAGTCCCAGAGATGCATTGTCTGCTTGTGGCAATACCACTGCGAAGGGGATCTCTAAGTCCAATGTGACCATCATGTGGTCACTTGGTTTGCTGGCATTCTCCAGTTTTATTAGATCAAGGATTCTCAGATGTCCCCTCTGATCGCCAGACTTGAACTTGTCTATTTATTGCCTCCTTTTTCACACATAGGTGAAGTGGGGGCATGTTGAGTAGCGTCTCTAGGGCTGCGGTGGGGCAAGTTGACATTGACCGTTATTCCTAGACATATCAGCCTTTGCACCTTTCTTAACTTGATCTGAGCGGTGACTTGTTGGGTTTTGGGCCACCACACCAATGAGGCGTATGTGACCATGGGCTTTATTATAGTTTGGTAGATCCAGAATACCATCTTTGGCTTTAGCCTCCATGTTTTGCCAACAAGTTTTCGGCATGACCAAATGGCTGATGTAGCTCGAGAGCATGTTTTCTCTAACTGTTTGTTCCAAGTATGGGATAAACATATTTTATCCTAATCTCTTTCACGTGCATCCACAGACGATACATTTCTACTGTGAACCTGAATTATTTTTCGCGTTAACCGCAACCAAAACCTCGAAATTATCGGACTTTTCCAGTTTTTTGCTTAGGAGCTTCTCAACAAAGTTGAAGAACTTCAAACTTCCTTTAAATTTCACTGGCCAAAAGGATTCGATCCAATAGTTAACCAGATATAGTGGTTCAAAAATTAAAGTAATTTCTCAGATTATCAAAATTAGCATGGAAATGCAGGTTTCTACTCTATAACTTTGGAAAACATAAAACTTTGACTATGAGTGCAGCAAAGATCGTCGATATCGTTCTATGGCTCTGGTAACTTTATGCCAACAGGATTTGCCACAGAACCTCATGTAGCAGGTACCCACCATCGATAACTGCGCATTCGCTGCTGTCGAAAAAGTAGGCTTTTTCTTATGTTGTCTAGGGTGTATGTAATGGGGTGAAATAAAAGGTCCTCCGGTGGATTTGTGTGAGTAAGGGACAAGCCCTCAGTCCACGTCCTCGTCTTCAGAAATTGGCAAAAGTGTAACCCCAGTCTTCGTCTTCACGTCTTTGGGACGGGGTGACACGGCTCTTCACTCCCACAACACAATTGCAATAATTGTGTACGTCTTCCGTCTTTATCGCCTTTCCACACCACTTCTGACTAGATTTCTTGACTAATGAATAACAAATTAATGACTGATTTAATAGAATGAACACCCGCCATACTAGTACTAGAGAGTACACATACTCGCCAACTTTACGCCTTTTCGCGCATGCACCTGCCATTGCTCTTTTTAAAGGGACCTCCTCTGGCAAAATGTCAGAGATGTGTTCACTTTCTAGAATCTAGAAAATGCATCATAATAATATTGACACCTACATATAAACTGCTGGACAAATGAAGCGGAACAAGCCAATTTTTAATTTAACTCTTGACTTTTGTGCCCTTATGCATACCTCCCTCTGTGAAGAGAGACATCGGATCAACAAACAACGTTATCTTTCCGCTCTCATTTCATGTCTTGATAATTCCCTTCTTCCAAACAGGTCTTCATACCAATAGTTCGAGCTGAGTGACAGTTCACAACTTCAGGAGCAACAGCTCCTGTGCCTATTGAGATCAGTAGATAGACGAGTTCAGCACGGATGACGTCAAAATCAGAATCAAAAACGGTTTATTTTCCAAAAATATTTATTAAAATAGGATACAATAAAAAAATAATTCAGGGACACAGTAGACCATGAGTGCACCTGAAAGAGACGAGGATTGAAGATGTTTATCCCATGCTTGGTTTGAATTATGTTCGGACGAGAAAAAGTTTTTGACAAGTTGAGATTTTTTTTGGATATTTGAATTACTGTATCTTCGTTACTATTGCGTTAAAGAATACTTTTGATGAGTTATATTTGAATAAAATTTTATTTTCTTTAACTTTATAAATAGGTGTATTCTGCTAAAAACGCATGGTTTAGAAGTTATGAGTAAAAAACTGAAAAAGTTTGAAAATTTTTAGGTCTTTTGACTTCCCCCCAAGTTAGCACAGGGTCCTCGAGGTCAAAAACTTAGATTCTACTCGACAGACTATCCATAAATGACCTGTTAAAATATCAATACTTCGGAATACTTTCCAGCTACCCCCTTTATTTATTACCTACTTGCCTGCTGCTGGCCTATATGTATAGGAAAACCTCTATTAGACGTTCTCGGAGACTGGGAACTTCTCAGTAAAAACGGATGTTTATAAAATTTCCTCTCGGTCAGTTTGGTACGTTTTTAAGAATCTTTCAAACATCCTAGTACTGGGAAGTTCAAAAGTTCATTTTATTAGGTAAAATGCGGATAAAAATGTTTGCCTAACAAAACTCTAGTTAAAAAGCTAACAGTTACCAGCACAATTAATAACCCATGGGTCTTTCCCCATGTATTGACCAATTGACCCCTCCACTACAGGGGTTATGTGAAGAGATATCAAAAAATTGTAAAAACAATCCGACTATAGATATTCAGTAAATACCTATACAGTAGAGATTCTTCATCCAAACATTATTAGTAGCTCCAGAGTGATTTTTCCATAGGAAACAAGGTTGCCACATAGTAATTTTTAACAAAAATCGGTCAAACAATTTATGCAATGTTGCAAAATCTAATTTCTCTCAACAGAGCTGTATAATTTTAATACCAACTATTTTATGGTGCCTTATAATTATTGTAAATAGATCGCTAGTATTTTCTTTTACCATTTTATACTTTGTTAACCATTTTATACGTACTTTATTAGGTATATTTGTTATGTTCAACTAGTTGTACAGTAATTTTAAGGACAAAATTTTTGAAATAAAACTACTTATAATGTTTAAATTACAAATATTTATTTCCAATTGGTTTTTTTTTTATCATAAAAATAATCCTAAGAGATACATTTCATTACGGCAACAAATAAGAAACAAAGGAATTTCATTTTACTAGATACTTTTTAATCTACAATCAATATTTACACCATATTTTTGTACACAAAAAAAAAAAACTCATGATTTTTCCGCAGAAAAGTGTTTGGAATGGTTTTGTTGGTATTTTGATCATATCGATTTCGCCAAAAATTATTATTTGGCATATTTATTTGAATATTTACAATTTAACGATCATTTAATTTACATTTCAGGAGGGGGTGGCACTGGTTGATCATTGAACAGGAATTGTTCAAAAACAAACAAAAAAACTCCTACTTTCAGTCAGGGCGAGAGCGACTATTTTGCTTTCGTAATCAAGCTATTGTATAAATGTATTACATATGCTGGACTCAGGGTTGAAGTTAATTTTTGCTTCTCAATATGTTACAGTAATATTCCAATGTAGTATATTTATACAATAACTCAAGTACATAAGTGGAACAATTGCCACCGCTCCTTCTACACATTAAAATATCAATTGAAACAATTATTACAAAATAAAAATAATAGTAAAATCACAGCTCTATCTTATTTATAAATAAATAAACGTCATAATCAAAAAAAAAAATTGAACAAAAAATATTTCAGCTAACTAACACAATTTATGCAATTGCCGAGTATTTGAAAAAATCCTCAAACAATTTTTCTCTAGAGGTAGAACATTATTTTTCACAAAATCTAATCCTATAAAAATAACTAACTAATTGTACTTACAAAATTTAAATGAAATCGAAAAGTATTTGGTACAATAATAATTAATAATTTACATAAATAATACTTTTCGATTACATTGTATGGATTAAGGAAGCATCATTGAAATCTTTGTCGATTGGCTTTTGATCTACCTATATACAAAAATAAACGGACAAAGATTTGTTCTCGCCATTGAAAAAAATCCTTCAAGGATACAAATATTATGAGAATGCACACTGTACACAAAAAGATGGCGCAATTTATTTACAATACAAACATTCTAATTATTTAAACAATCTTTGGTAGGAAAGAGACAAAAATAACAACAAAATTTGCAACAAAAAAATTATTTGTTACCATCATAATACTAAATCAATAATAATCTTGAGATCGGTTTTTTGCCCTCTGATTAGTTTTATAGAAAATTATTTTAAATAAATAATTTCAACAAAAATTCAACCATTCTGGTTTCAATTGGTTGTTTTTTTTTGTCAAAAAGGGCAACAAAATAATGTAATTACGACATCAAATCAGTCTAAAATTGTACAAAAAAAAATATAACAAACAAAAATCTCACAGACATAAAGCTTGATAGTTAATTTAAGAGATGCTAGAGGAGTTGCCAAATGGAAAAAAAAAAATTAAAAAATTTTATTGCACAAAAACAAATTAAATCAACAACAGCCCTTGTAGTGTCGGAGCTGCACGTGGGCGCAGCACCTCTTCAACTGTCATCAGCCAAACCGTTCTTTTACCAGGAACATCAATTTCTTTTTGCCTTTATAGGCAACCTACAAAACAAGAAAAAAGAGTTATTGAAAATGTTGGATTTCCACTCTAGACAGGGTTTGTAACTTGCAAACATGACATCATTACTACTGCATGTTATTTGCGGGGGAGAGGACACTTTCCGCGCATGTACAATATTGTTATAAATCTCTCAACCTGGGGAAATTGTGCACAATCTTCCATCACTAATGACTAGACAATTCGCGAATGGAATAATCCAGCGAATTATCTAGACAATTCTAGAAGCAACGACGCGCTATAAAAAGGAGTCGGCGACAGAGAGAGTAAAACAGTGAGTTGTGATTTAGTTTGGTGGCTGGTTAAGCTTTATTGTATAGTTGAGGTAAGTTTTGTGATAGAGGTACTTTTTCGTGATTTTTATTTTTTTTAAAAATAATTTTGGAAAACTAGTTTCACTTATCTGCGAACCCAATTATATTAAGGTATTATAATATTTTACCATATTTGTATTAAAGCCGTTGTACACAGCACAGTTTCTTTACGAAATTATTCACGAAATTGTTGCCGAAATATTTCAGTCAATTTTTCCTGTTTTACACGAAAAGAAAAACTTAAATAATTCGCCAATAAACTTTAGAAAATGTTCTATAGTTATTGTGGGCGCGGCCGAGAAAATGCTTGAGTTTCGGCGCACACAATTACAAAATAAAAGGCTGTTTTCTTTTCCTTCAAGCCTTATGAACTCGTCATTGAATTTCCTATGTAATAGATAAAGATAGACTGCTTATTAGCGGTGAATCAACCGGTAAAAAAAGTGTTGGGCCCAAAAACATAGGGTGAACAAAAATCGCCAACTGAATGCTGTCACCAAGAATATTCGTTACCCGTTGCCTCCATTCAACTGGAGAAGCTAACTACATAACCACCTTAGACCTGAAGGGTGGTTATCATCAAGTATCTGTCAGAGAAGAAGATCGTGATAAAACCGCCTTTGTCACGCCATTTGGACTTTATCGATTTAAGACGATGCCTTTTGGTCTATCCACGGCCCCAGCAACGTTTCAAAAGCTAATAAACCCTTCGTTCAAGAGCTGTACTGATAGAGAAGCCCTTGCACTTGTCTACACAGTCAATAAGTTTCGCAGATACATAGAAGGTTTACTAGCACTAGGAGTATTATCGACTGTTTCGAGAATGCTGATTCTGATACTGTCGACTTTGCCAGATGGACCAATCGAGGCTACCATAAGGTAGCCTCGAACCATAAGGTTCAAGGGATTTTACATCGTTACGCCAGTGACTCCGATTCTGACAAAGCCCAATTAGTTGTTCCTCAAGGTCGAGTAGGGTCTATATTTCATGAGTTGCATGATTCGCCACTTGCAGGACACTACGGCGTAGACAAAACTTTGAAACGAATCTCACAAAGATTTTACTGGCCGACGATGAGAAAAGACATTGCTAAACACATCCGAAAATGCATAGAATGTCAGAGATACAAACCAACGAATCTTAAGCCTTTTGGTTTGACTCAGACTCCTGTTCTGGCTCAGCGATTTGAAACCGACGGAGAGCCAGCGCCGAAAAAATTATCTGAATTTACTAAAGCCAGTTTTTGGACAGTTGATTACAACAGTTATGTACATCAATATAGTGCGGTCAGTCAAGCGAAACATAGAACAAGGACCTAGGGTGTCTTGTTAAAGTTGTCGAGAAAACTTAAGTAATGCAACGAATTTACTAAGGCTGAAAATCGTTATACATGTCATATATTACACATTAATAACAGTGATGTTAGTCAGTCAGTTGAATAGCGAAACCGTGCTGGCCAGTCAGCTTCATTGAGGTACATAGGTCAGCCCTTAGATAATAGGGCTATTTTTTTAGAGTGACCGATTGTCACTCGGAAATTATGAAATATTTTATTTTTCCTGAAATATTTATGAAATATTTAATTTTTCGTGAAAAATTTCCGAAATATTTTACGTTTCATAAAATATTTCCGAAATATTTTATAAATTCTCATTTCGCGCCCAATTTTGACATATCGCGATCAGTTTTAACAATGATTGTCACTTCTCATCTTGTCAATTTTAGGTCTGTGGTTTGCTGGATGGTCTGTTTGGCCGTTTGGGTTTCGCCTTAAATCGTGTTTTGTTCAGGTACAGGGTAAAGGGACAGTAGACATTCGGTTATCCGACTTTCGATTTTCCGCTTGCTGGATGATCCGAGTTATAAGCGGTTGAACGCCGTATTTTTCGAGCATCAGGCTAAGTAATTACGGGGAATCCCAGAATTGACCAAGGAACACAAACCTACTGACCAGTGTGTCTATTCTCGAAACCGGCGAACAGCGTTCCCACGAGAACGATTGCTCTGTTTTTGTCAGTGTTATGGAAATATAAAATATATATATTTTATACAGTATGTAAAAAAATCCAGATTATCCGAGCCGCCAATTATCTGAGCTAGCCTGTACATCCCACGTTAGCTCGGATAATCGAGACTGTACTGTATTTACAATCGCTATCCCGGTACTCGATCCCCAAATTCTATACAGACTTTAATGAATTAGAATCTGTCAAATACCGGAAATATTTCTTGAATGTCCGAAATATTTTTTTTCATATCCGAAATATTTCTTAAATATCTGAATTTTTTTAAAATCTGTAAATATTCTAAGAAATTTCATAAATTTTTAATATTTCCCCATAAATTCTCAAGGTGTCGGAAATATTCCTAGAGAGTATTTCTTTTTTTTTATGTTCTCGAAAATTTAACAACACTATGTCCCACCATCTTTACATCATTCGGGTGCCAAGTTATTTCCAAACGCGAATAAACTGCGTACACCAAAATTTCTCCTACCAACTAACGAGCGCCACAGTATAACTAGTGTAAAAAGTGTCGACATCCACTTTGTATAATTCCGATCTCAACTCACACAAAACACAAGTATTGAAAGTTAGATAAAACTTCATTCTATGTCATGTCACCCACCACATAGTTGAGTTCGGAATGGGATTTTAGTGCGGTGTTTGTGTAGTGCAGGGTTATATCACGTGATGAAGGTGTAATCGGCGGTGTAACACCGAATACACCATCATTTTGTACCCAATAGACGGTGTCCCACCCTCTTTACACCATGCAGGCACCATTGGCACCAAGTTATTTCCAAACGCAAATAAAGCCTACACCAAACTTTCTCCTACCAACTAACGGAACGCCACAGTGTCAATAGTATCAAAAGTGTCGACATCTACTTTGTATCATTCCGAACTCACCTCACACAAAACACAAAGTGTTGAAAATTATAAACACTCTTAAACAATGAACTACATGTTTGGTTCCAACACAAATTCAACGTAGCGTTCAGCAGAACAAACGCAAAGTGTTTACCAACGTTTGTATCTGGTGAACATGGCTATTACTATTTTCTGTAGTACATTTGATTTATTGGGGGCTGACTGACCAGCACGGTTGCGCTATTCAACGGACTGACTAACATTATTGTTATTTATAATATGTATAACGATTTTCAGCTTTAGTAATATTGCTCCATTACCTAAGTTATCTCGACAACTTTAACAAGACACCCTAGATCCTTGTTCTAAGTTTCGCTTGACTGACCGCGATATATTAATGTATGTGCATAACTACTGTAATCAACTGTCTAAAAACTAGCTTTAGTAAATTCAGAGATTTTTTTCGGCGCTGGCTCTTAGATTATATGGATTTATTTGGACCACTGCCTGAAGCAGAAACAGGTCAAAGGTGGGTTTTCGCTATAGAAGATATTGCTAACAAATGGATAGAGTTATTTGCACTGGAAAATGCTACAGCTGAAGCTTGTGCGAAATGCCTTATCGATGAAGTTATTCTCAGATATGGAGAACCCAGAAAGGTCATCAGTAACAATGGCACGCAGTTTGTCACAGGTGTCATGCAACAAGTTGCTCACTGCCTCGGTTTTACCCAAAATATTATACCGTTGTATCACCCAGCTTCCAATCGAACAGAAAAGAAACAGAGATCTGAAGACCCAGTTAGCAATACTTGTGGAAAAAGATCATACGAAATGGAAAGAAGCCTTGCCTTCTGTGAGATTTGTAATGAATTCTGCCAACAACCGTATCTACTGGTTATCAGCCCTGCCTATTTATGTTTTGCACGTGAACTAATAACCCCGCATGATGTCAAACGTGATCTCCAAGCTATCGTTAACGAGAACTTCATTCCTGAGATCACCCCAAAATTAAATGTTGTTAATGTCCTGTCCAACGTTAGGGAGAACTGAGAAAGGATGCGTCCAAGATGTATGCTGACAAACATTGACGCAATGAACCATTCACTATAGGAGAAAAGGTTTTGGTCAACTCGCATGTGTTGAGCAAAGGATTGCAGTCTTGCACATCCCCAAGTTTGCCCCTAGAAGAGATGGCACCTATATAATCCTGAAGATAATATCGCCAATCTCTTATCAGATTGCCTTCACCCAATCTCCAATAGTACCGGCAAAGATCTAGTTCCTGTTAGGCCTATTCGACATAGAGGTCGTCCATTTGGAAGAAGAACTTCAAGGGTTCGACGATCCAAAAAGTTTTTTGACGATGTCTTATTTTGTTGGAAGTTTGGAGAGAAGCTGCGCTGCAAGTTCCAAAGGGGGAGAATATAACGTCTACACTTGCGACGACATAGCCACTACCATTGCCGTAGCCATAGCCACTACCATGTCTGACAAGTGTCATCAATCGATCAATCAATCAGTCAGTCACTATGGTCAGTCATCTATGGTCAGTCAGTTTTTAATCTGTGGTTCAAGCACAGCTTACATTGAAAAACAATGTGTAGGTAGTGCATAGTGTTGGAATTTAATTCGATACCCGCTACAAACTTTATAAAACTGCAGGAGAGTACAAAGATTCAACAACAATTACAAAACGAAAGTTTTATTTGTTTTGGTTTACCAAAGTATGAGGTTATGATTTGATTATGGATGGTAAAACATGCTGTGGTAAAACGTAACTGCGCCTGCGTTTGACTACTATTTTCACGAAAATTTTGCTAAATTTTATTTGCCGTGTCAAACAGGTAAAAAGCGAAACCAAGTATAGTAAACTTAAATACGAAATATTTCGGCAGTAATTTCGTGAATAATTTCGTAAAGAAACTTTGCCGTGTGAAAGGCTCTTAGACAAAGTCAAATAATAGTTATTTACTAGTCGTTCTAATCACACGAGGTTTGTAGTCATGTTCAAACGCACGAGTGATGTACAACGTTTTATCTACAGAGAGAAAAATAGAAAAATGTTTTTTTTCGATTTGCATTTATTAATAGATGTTCATCTTCATTTTACCTTTACACGTTTAACTATGACATTTGTCAAATCACAAAAACTAGTTGTGTTATAGATTCATAGTCCATAACACAACTAGTTGTGTTATGAGTCTCATGACGTAACTCAAATACTAGGAAAATGGTTACGTAAAAATGTCAAAACCAAACGCTTGTAGATAATAGTTATTTAGCTTCATTACAGTAACGAGTGGGGAATATTGACCGAGTCGTGGTAATTATACGAGTGGTGTAATGAGCGTTACCGTACGTGTGATATACAACATTTTAGGTACGACCCAGATTTTTTTCATATATTCGAAATGGTTTCAATTTTTCACAAAAGATTATATTTATAATTATTGTTGATAAATGAATTTTAAAAAGTGCCGTTTTTCAATAAAAATGAGTTACGTAATGAGCTCTCATTACATCACTGAGTGATGTAATGAGCTCATTACATCACTAAGCACGATAATGCAACTTATTACGTAACTCAGACAGGCGAAAATGAGTTACGTAATAAGCTCTTACAGTGTAGGTCGTACATAAAGCAATTTAATAATATTATGTATTGTACTTTATCAAGAAATAAATTGAGGAATGAAAATTGACGCAGTGATCAATTGACGAATGAAAATCGGAGCACTAGTAATCTGTCAAATCCTTACCTTCATGTTTTCTAACAGTTGGGCGAACTGTGCGTGTCCGTCGTGAGCCAACGCAAACGTATCCCTCGCCCGACCCAAAAACTCAATAAAATCAGCGTAATGCCTCGGCGAGATGTGCGTCAATCGCGAATGCGTCGTGTTGACGTACGCGGCAACGGCAGCTTCCAAAAGAGGCCGCAACGGCGGCCTGTCAAACGAAAGAGGTTTCAGTCCGGGCGCCGAGCACCTCGTCCTATGTGGCACGTGTTTAGGATCCGGATGTTGAGGTGCTAAAGGACCGCCTGGCGCTGAGGCGCCGCATCGTCTCAGTACGTCACTGAGTACTGTGGCGCATTGGACGTTTTTCACCAGCAACGGTACCATATGGCCGAGCTCAGTTTTGCCTAGAGAATGCGCTAGAGCCATGGCCCAATGGATGTCGTTAATGGCTGGATGGGTGTCTTGATTGTAGGCAAGATGGACGTTTTTCATGGCAAGCATCGCTAGCTTGTAGGCTCTGCTAGGATAGCCACGGTGCTCCATATACCGGGCGATTGTGAAGAGCTGAGATGACGTCATAATGTGTGAAGCAGCTTCCACTACTATTTGATAAGCAGTTTCGAAGGCCAAGGCTTCATTTTCGCACAATGTGAGCGCGTTTAAGGCACAATTCGGTGGATCCTAGAGAAAAAAAAGTTATATAATAATCAATACATATTAGTAATAAATGCCATTGCATACCTTTGTGGCACATTGTAAAGCAAGAGTCCTAGCACAACTGCTCAATTCTTCCTGTTGCTGAAAGCCAAGCTGCAACCGCAACATAGTCCCACGTGACATAATAGTTGTAGCGACAGGCCCGGCAGCTTCGGTAGCAGTAAAAAACTGAAACCAGTTTTGCATCAGCGACACTAGCGCATCTAATCCGAGTTCGACTGCGCAGGTGACCAGCCAGCGCACCATTTCGCGTCTGCGCCAATTGAGCGAAGATAAAGTCATGCGCATAACTTGCAGCCCCAACTCAAACGCCACACTCAAAAGCGTCGGATGTCTGGGTCCGTTTTCCGGAGTAGCGAAACGAAATGCATCCTGCGCGAGTTTAAAAAGGTGCGAGGAGCTGTGTATGTGCCTTTGCGACGATTCCAGCACGGTCCTGAGTCGCATTACTTCGCCTTTGGCTGCACTGAGCATGGTACTGCTCAGGGCGCACTGTTGACCCTCGATATGACCGATTGTGTACCAACGTGGGGGCCGGCCCGGCCCAGGGGGACCGGCCCCGCTAGAGCCCCCCGATGATGAAGAGCCACCTTCACCGTCGCCTTCTTCTAATAGAGGTAGTCGCATAGCGCGCAGGCCCACTTCGTAAGCTAAGTCCGGGTAGTAGTTGAGAAGAGACAGGAATAGAAATCTAGCGAAAGTGTGCATGGGGATTGATTCCGGATGGATTCCGATGCCTAGGCCGCTTGTGGGACCGCCTTCTAGAAGGATTATGGCTTGGCGGCGGAGAACTGCCACTAGGCTGTTATCTAGTTCGATTTCTTGGAGTTTTGCGATGAGGCGGTCTTCTTGTTTACAAGCTTTTTCCTACGACAACAAAATCTCAAAGTAATTCAAATTTTGAAAAACCTAACTGGAAGGAATCCAACCAATACGGTGTCAAAATAATAAAGTATAGTCTATACGAAGTTACTATTGGACCAGGCCTAAAATAGTAATATGGTCAATACACTGCATCACATTTTAAAAAATATAGGAAAAATTTATACTGATTGCTGCTCGTACCGTTGGAAGCCAGACAAGTAGGGATGGATAGATCTCATTGACTCTTTGTACACATTCGATACCAGTCAACGTGGACTCGATAGATCTGATTGGCCATTGCCGATTTTTGATTCACCGACATACTGTTTCTGTTCATTCCGCTTTCTGGGGCGATATGATTGTCGGTGTGAGAGACAGTGCAGTGCATTACCTACTCTAATTTTTTCGATTAGTTTATTGATTAATAATTTTAGTAGTGCCTTTTGAACTTACGCCGCCCATGTTTGACAAACTTAAATGAACTCTTATGCTATAGGTATGCCCATACTCAGGATATACTTGTATTGTCGAACCGGCCCTTATGCGGGGATATACTTTTTATAGTAGTCCAAGTGACTTCGTATAGACTTTAACTATTCACTCATGATCACGTTACAATCATGGAAATATTTTCAGTGAGTCATGGTCTCCTGACCGCTTTAGTCTAAAATCTACAAGAAAATGGCGGAAAGTTCTGTCCCTATTATTTTTCATTAGTAAAACAAAGACAGGAACCGTACCTTCCTAACTATTTGCCAAAAAAGGATGTGAAAGGTTCAATGAATATTTTCTAAACAGCATAAATGAAATGTAAACAATATAGACCGTAAGCCCACTGTCAAAAAGTGCAACATAACGAGGCGTTCATCACTAAGTTGTCAACGTACAAGCAAAATCATCGGGTGCCGTGAAAGAATTAATTCTTTATTGTAAAAAAAAAGAAATGAGCTTTGGAAGAATAGTATAACGTATGCCGTGCATGACAAATGATATTTATGAATAAAAATTTATCGAAAAACGACCAGCATATGGTGTACGTAAAATCTAAGGGTCCGCGTTTGCCCTTAAAATTCCCCATTTTTGAATCACTTATTCTTTAAGGATCAAAAATTATACAATGAACTGCCAAATGATTTAGGTGCAATGACTGCAATGATAACTTTATGTAGAGGATATATTAAACTAAAAATTGAATTGATGTTGATTTTCATTTGAACCAATAAATAGTTCAGAACCTACAGTGTGAATACTCACTGATTCGAAAGAACTAGACTCCTTACCTGTGCATATAGCCCTACAGGCATAACCCTTTGCTGTCCCAAGCCAATCAGCGCCACCTCAAAAGCCAAAGTGAGATAAGTTTCGGCCCGATCCCTCGACCCAACCACTGGATTGTGCTGATACCTCGGCCTCAAATTAATATGTTGATCATCCATACTGACCAAATCCAAATAGCTAGGCGTTCGAGGTCTTTGATCTTCCGATATCGTGGAAGCGTCAACCAAAGTATCAAACAAACAACCAATAGGATCCAAGGGATGTCCCACCCAACCGTCTGGATTGGCCGGAGCATTAATACTAGTAGTAGAACAAGAGTTTGTCATGCAATTGCCTTGACACCTCGACGTGCAAGGTTTCGGTTGCTGGCTGGTGCTGGGTGCGCTACTGGTGCTGGCCTTTTGCTGCTGACTTTCGTGCCACTCTTTCTGGGCTTGCAACTGCTGCTGTTTCATTGTCCTGACAACTGACACTGCTAATCGCAGTGCAGCTTCAGAATGTCCGTGAGAGCGTAGCGAGTCTACTCTAGCAGCGCACCAAGGGATCGATTCATGCCACAACGGTTGCCCCTGCGAGTTGAAGCTGCCATTGGAATAACTGGAATTATCAGGCACGTGGGAACAATAAGTGTCACTTGATAGGATGTTTTTCAAGTGCATGTTGTCCCAGGACATGCCGACAGCGTCTAGGGCCCGGTGGAAAATGGTGCGAGGCAATGAAGGTTTGTTGTGGCCTTTGGTGGACAGTCTGAGTCTCTTGTGACCTCTTGGACTGTAGTTTGGTTGCTCTTCTTCGTCGTCCGAGTCACTGGAACTGTCCGACGACGCATAATTCTAGAGAATAAGTTTATTGTATATTGAAGAATAAGACATTTCTGATAGACTACTTACCGCTCTATTATTGCATCTGTCTCTTTCTCTCTCTCGTTCGCGATCTCTACGCTCGCGTCGTTCTCGCTCTCGTTCCGAGTAACGGTCTCTGTCGTACCAATACCGATCACGATCACGATCCCTATTCAAATACTAGAAGAAAAACTTATTAATACTCAAATTTCCTACAATGCATCAGTTATTAGATAAAATTCTTACCGAATCTCTTTGTCCTCCGACCACTTGCAATCGAAAATCAGGATCTTCGGGAGGACAAACGTCAACTTGCACCCATTTGCTTAGTTGCGTCTCCCATTGAATCTTTTCCAGAGACGCGCAGCCGGGACTCAGTACAATACAGACCCACAGGGAACCCAATTGATCCCACAGCTGCCTGCACTTATCGGTCATCGGAGTGCCCTGACTTTTCCACAGCTGTAATCGAGGGTCTTGAAGGAATTGTTCGGTGATTAAAGTGAGCATACGGGCTCCGTTGGAGTCTTGGGCACGCAGCATTTCCCGAACCTAAATATTTCATAGTGATTGTTAATACCAATTTTGATCAGTTTGGGGAGGTGATTACTTTTGAAAATAATGAGTTCAGTTGCTTGTTGGCATTGTAGTAAGCTCCTTGGGCCAAGTACGAGCGCACTTGTTCGCACACTTGGTTTTCGTCTAGGTGCCATGAATGGGCGTCGTCCGCTGCAGCTCCTGCAGTAGGATCAGGTGCTCCAGCAATCTATAAACAAAATTGTGGCCTATTACATCTTAACTATTCATTGTCTCATGTAAGCAGCTTAAAGAGACTTCTACCTACTTGATTAATTTCGCTACGTTGCTGCAAGATTTCGTCGGCTAGTTTTTGAGCTGTAGGAAGCACTTCTGTGTGATGCTCGGCTATCAGGTACTGAACGAACTTCTGCAATTGCTGCCGGTCCATTTGGAGAAGCGTTTCTGTTTGGAAAACGAGAATTTGATGTAAAACTTTTGGACTGTCGCACGAGTCACATTTATAATAATTCATGAATGTATCAGCATTTATTATGGGTCATTGGCGGGCCTATACATAAACGCAATCTTGATAAGGGTGCGTGCACAAGGGAGCTGTGATACAAACTTGTAGCCTGGATGACAGTTCAGAGCTGAAATTATAAGCGCTTATAGGTGTGCACAACGGAGCTGTGATACTAACGTGGATTTATGGCTTTTAAACAATTTCATCTCGCATTTCTGATCGCGATGTCGAACAGTGATGACGATTATTTATGTTCGTCCGCTACAAATTGGTATGTTCCGTGCTATTTACCCTCAAGAGAATACTATATATTATATCCACCCAATTAATCAAAAACGGCTAGAGCTGGGAGATTATCACCACTTCTATCAGGAGGGGGCTTGATGCTGATGATCATTTGTATCTACTCATCTACTTTGCAATACATTTTAAGTGAAATTAAAGACAAGACGATAACTCGTGCGCCACCCTTGTCAGGTGGTTTCTGCTCGCACAAAGAATGGTAAATTTCATTCTAGTATGCTATAAGCGGTCATCTCAGCTATACTCACTGCTCCGATGTGCACTCTCACATTTAAACCAAATTGTGCACGTACCCTTATGGTCCAAGAGCCCAGAGCCGCCAGACACAACTTATTTTCTAAAGGACAGAATATATGGGATTGAGTAGCACTTATAGGTACTATGAACGTATGTATATTCGCTAAGTTGGGTAGACGGCCAACTGACTGTTATTTGTAAATAACGGTTTTTCCTATTATGGAAAAAACCTAATCCCATTTCTACTCTAGCCTGGACTAGACTGTAAGTTTAAGAGGCGGAAATCAGTTGACATAGATATCTCGCTCACTCTCAAACGCATGCATAGTACCCTCGCGCTCACACTCCCGGAAAAATTATTTTGCGTCTGGGGGGATGTTTGGCCGGTGCGATTGGTCTGGCTGAGCACACGTAGTTATGAAATAGTCTCCCCAATACCATATATAAAAATCACGCGTTAGAAAAAAAGTTAAAGCTTTCTTCAGCTTTCGCACCTGGTGTTGGTAAATTGGCCGTCTACCCAACTTAGCGGGTATACATACGTCCATAGTACATATAAGTGCTACACAATCCCACATATTCTGTCCTTTAGAAAATAAGTTGTGTCTGGCGGCTCTGGGCTCTTGGACTATTAGGATACCCGAACAACGGAGCTGTGATACGTACTCAAAGCCTGGATGATAGATGGAAGCTATCATCGATGGTTAGAATTATATAATTGGTTTAAATGTGAGCGTGCACATCGGAGCAGTGAACAGCTGGGATGATCGCTTATAGCATACTAGAATGAATTTTACTATTCTTTCTGCGAGCAGGAACCAGCTGACAAGGGTGGCGCATGCCCAGTCATCGACTTGTCTTTAATTTTACTTAAAAAGTATTGAAAAGTATATAGATGGGTCCATTGTCAAATATTGATAAAAATGATCACCAGCATCAGGTTATCTTTTCACATCCTCGATATGTGGTGATAATCTCCCATTGCTAATCGTTTGTGATTAATTGGGTGAGTATTATCTTGGGGGTAAATGCCGCAGAACGTACCACTTTGTAGCACACGAACATAAATAATCCTCAAAACTGTCCGACATCGCGATCAGGAAAAGCGAGATGAAATTGTTTAAAGGCTATAAATACTGAAAAGAGGTTTTGGCTGAGTCTTCTTGAAAAAGTGAAACACTTTGAATTTCCGGCACAATCAGCTTATCAATCCCTCAACTTAACTCTTGAATTAGTTAAGTGTTCCAAGCCCGACTGGAACGTGAGTTCGGCGCCACCTATTTTATGGGCTAAATAGGAAAACCCTGCGATATTGAGCAGTTTAAGTTGAAGGATTGTGAAGACAACCGTAAGCAGTAATTTTTTTTAAAAAAAAGTAATAATAAAACAATATATGTATATTTGAAAACAGATCAAGTTGATTTATTGATTATGAAAATGGTTAAGTACCGCTGCTGACTTATGCAATGTAATTATAACAATAATACAACTGGTAAGAAAGATTCTACTTGCGAGTGATCACCTTCTTGCGCAAATATTAAAAATAAAAAAATAAGTAGTTACTAACATTTTTAAGTAACAAATGAAGAAATATCAATAAAATAATCTAAGGTTTTTACTACTCGATTTACCCTTTCCACAGGATCGGCTCTGGGATTGTAATGAGCAGTATAGAAAATTTTGACCTGGTACTTCTCACACAGACCTTGGAGTTCCTTGGATTTCATGGGAGTCCCATTGTCACACATAAGAAATTGAGGTGACCCATATGCCAGAAAAACAACCGCCTCAACGTTTCTAGATAAAATTTTGGCATTTGCAGCCTTACAAGGAAAAATAAGAACAAATTTGCTGAAGAAGTCAGAAACGACATGCACTTGTCGTTTCTGACTTCTTCAGCAAATTTGTACAGTATTTCCACATTTTAACCTCGGAAGAGAACCTATGAAATCTAGACTGACACATTGGAAAGGCTCATTTACAACTGGACTTGGAACACTCTACTAATCCAAGAGTTAAGTTGAGGGATTGATAAGCTGATTGTGCCGGAAATTGAAAGTGTTTCAATTGGCGCCCAACGTGGGGCCTTGTATTGGTTTTGTTTTTTTGGAAGGGAAACTGTTAGTTGACTGACTGTATTTTTTAAATATTTTTTTCAATTTAAATCTAGTGGTGCTACCAGTCTAGTGGGTACACTATATACAGGGTGTCCCACGGTGGATGGCGTATTAGACGTTTATAGAGAACTGAGAAGCCGATCATTTTGAAAATTTGGCAACCGGTATAAATGACCATAATCTACACTTTAAAAATATTTTTGTTTATGCGGTGTTGCCGCTTCTACTCTAAACCAGTGGCAACATCGCTATTTTAAATAGAACATCCTGTATATGATTGCATATTTGGATTCTACGTAAAATTCTGAATCCATGATTAAAAATTCCAATTAAATTTCATCTCCGGTTAAATTCAAAGTTGGTGTCAAATGATAGTTTATCAAAATCTAAGATAGGAATGTAAAATCGATTTTCCTGTAAAATTAACCGTTTAGGTTTTACAGCCTGTCAAACTTGCAAAAAGTCAATTTTCAACTGTCAATATTTCCAAAACAGTTGAACTTAGGTATAGGATATATCACATGAAATCTGTTCAGAATTTTACATAGAATCCAAAAATGCAATCATATACAGGGTGTTCTATTTAAAATAGCGATGTTGCCACTGGTTTAGAGTAGAAGCGCATAAACAAAAATAATTTTAAAGTGTAGATTATGGTCGTTTATCTCGATTGCCAAATTTTCAGAATGATCGGCTTTTTAGTTCTACATAAACGTCTAATACGCCATCCACCGTGGGACACCCTGTATTTATATAGTGATTCGAGTATTTTATACGCTGGCATACTAGCATATTATAGGTCTATCTAGGCATTTTTTTTTTTCAGTTATACATATTAAGTATTTTGTGTATTCTGACATTGTTTGATCAAGTATGTGGTTTGTGTCTCGAGGAATACGATCTTGCAATTAGTTTTTTTTATTGAAATATTGGAATTGTGGTATAGAGTTAATAATTCTATTTTTTAATTTTTTTTTTCCTGTCTTTGGGTAATTATTTTGGGGACTTCAATATGGATTATAAAATGAAGATCATTAATCTTAAAAGGGAGATGCTAATTTATGAATTAGTTATCCGAGGTGTCACAGTAGATGATTCTAAAATGGTAGATCAACTCCGTAGCTCTTCAAGTGCAATCTTGAAACTTGAAAAGGTGGGTCAGAATTTGAATATTAGTTCCAGTGGTTATGGGTAGGGTTGGGTAAATTTCACTTTTCACTTCATCTGGAAATTTCACTATGAAATTTTCATGGAAATATTGAAATTTTTGAAATTTCCGTGAAATTTTCAAAATTTCTGAATTTTTCTGAAAAATTCCAAAATGTCATGAAATTTTCAAAATTTACTATGAAAATTTCAGTGAAATTTCATAAAATTTGATGAAATTTTCAACACAATGCAATTGTGATATCACAATGTGACATAACTACGTGACTTTACATATTAGTTTTAGTATTGTGTTTATGAGGTGGTGGTAGGGTAAATACAATAATAAATAAGTACAATGGTTGGACATTCTTCAGACATTTTATTCGGGCTTTGGCTTAAGTGTCGAATGTAAAAATAGACAATAGCTATTTTCCTAACAAGTGCGGGAGGAGAAATTTCCAACACGAGTGTGCGAAGAATCTGTGATGCAAAGCGCCGAAGTGCCGGAAATTTCTTCCCGCAAGCTTTAGGAACTATATTTTTTCTACAAGCGTACTAAAAGTGATGTTACGAAAAATGTAATTTAAATAAAATGCGATGGTGGAGAAGGTAAATTTATAAATGTATTGAAAGATCATTGATTGAACAGTATTTATAAAAAAAAGGTAAAGGTAAAGGTGTATCAACAATACAAACAATTCGACGTCAAAGGGATTATTTCAAACTCCTCCCGCACCAAGACGGAAAGAAAGTCTACCCGCACAGCAAAATTGCGAAAACAGCCATTTCCTCCACGCTCGTAGAAATAACACATTCTACCTTTCTGTTATTTATTTCATATTCAGTTGAGTGGAGTAGCTCCAAATATAGTTTTTTGGTTTAACTGTATTTATCATAAGTTTAGGCTTTCAACATGAAATTCACCTACCTTGGAAATTTGTTTTGTCATTCTAACCTTAGCTAAGGATTAAGATTCAAAGATTCCAACAATCCAAAGCAAGACAACCAGCAATACATTATACAACCAGTGAGCAGCGTTGCGAGTTACGGCGTTGCTATTATTGCCAATAACTCCTGGTATTTCCCGACGAAACATGTACAATTTTTAAAAATTTCGATGAAATTTATGAAATATCCAGTGAAACATATGAAATTTTTAGTGAAATATATGAAATTTTCTACAAAGTTTGGGAAATTTCAAATAGAAAATTTCACTTGTACTTTCTGTGAAATTTAACTTATCTCGAATATTGAAAATTTCCCATTTGAATATTTCAAACATGAAAATTTCATTTGAAAATTTCAAACGGCACAACCCTAGTTATGGGTTTGACATTGACACAGAATTTTCTTATATTGAATCAGTTTTGAAGGAAATTTCTGATGGAATTCGAAGTATGTCTCCTGAAAATGCAGGAACTCGATTTAAACTTAATCAGTCTAGACTCATACACCTCTTGGGTCGAACTTATCATATACCAACTGATAATTTGTCACAGTCACAATTAAGCAAGCGTGGTGATTTTCTTTCTGAAATTTTAGCTCTTCTTGATAAGCTCGAGAATATTTCAGTCAATGATCTTAACATAAGTATTTTATTAAATAATTCGATTGCCAGGAATAATCCAGTAGCTCAAACTTCTACGCCTACACGTTCTACTCCGCCTGCTCATGTAGCTCCTCCTGCTGTTAACAATACTATTTTACAAAAAGTAGAACCAGTTCAAAAATGGGGTGTCAAGTTTAATGGTGATTTGAGAGTCATGTCAGTGCATGCATTCTGAGAAAGAGTGGATGAACTGAGGGTTGCCCGAAATGCCTCAGAGAATGATTTGTTCCATTCAGCGATCGATTTGTTTTCAGGGAAGGCACTCAGTTGGTTTAGGGCCTACCTATGAACCTCCAGATTACATATCTCGACTTTTCCGAGAGATTTTAGATCGAACCCAAGACGCAACTGAGGGAATTGTAGATTATTTGACAACCATGAGTTCACTGTTTCGTAGATATGGCATGGTTCCTGCAGATGCTCAGTTAGAGATTATTATTCGCAATTTGGCTCCATTTTATACCACCCAGCTTCCTGTCGTTGACACTTTGGAAGAGTTAGATAAGGAATGTCTCAAGCTAGAGTCAAAGAAATATCGTGCAGAACATTACGCACCTCCTCCTCGTAGACGTAATAATTTAGTCGAGCCTGACTTGCCTTTGTGGAAACTTCATGTGTAGAATCACCAACTGATGTTCTTGCCGTTGTACAGACTTCTAATTCCCATTCAAATTCACAAAATCCTCGTGGTTCAAGCCATATTACTTGTTAGAATTGTCAGAAAGTAGGTCATACAAATAAGGAATGTAAACAGCCTCGTAAGTTACATTGTTTTAAATGTGGTAATGTGGGTACTACAGTTCGTAATTGTCCGAGTAATTGTCTTAATTGTTCGGGAAACGGATTCCGGGGGAATCGACATTAGGCCATTTGATGACCCCCACCAATAATTCGTTCGCTGTTCCAAAGAAACTAGTTTTAGATTTTATTCTCTCTCATGCACAAGGCGACCAGCCATTTCTTGAATTGTCTATCCTGGATTTTCCAATATTGGGTTTATTGGACAGTGGAGCTTCTAGGACTATAGTTGGTTTGCCTGGCTATGAAAATTTTGCTCAAAGGAGGAGGTCTTATCAATTTAAATAAGACAAACTGTCACATGTACTGTAGCCAATGGTCAGTCTTGTTCCAGCATAGGCTATGTCCAGGTTCCTCTGACTTTGAAACATAAAACTAAGATGTTTGATATTTTGATATTGCCAGATTTATCTTATAAAATAAAGTGATGGTGTGCCTGGACGAGGATTATCTCAGTTCTGTAGGATGCCTTTTAGATTGACCAACGCTCCAGCAACTTGGCAGCACATTGTAGATAATGCTTTGGGAGCGGATCTCCAAAATAAAGTGCTTCAAAAGTTTGTAAAAATTGTGTATTACGAATGAGGCTAATGGTCAATCTGTAAGGGGTTCAAGAAAGGATTGATATTTGGTGAGTTTAATTTATCGCACCCAGTCATTAAAAAATTAACTATAGAATTGGCCAAATTGCTTAATTTCCTGCATAATCCCTAACAGTAATGCGTCTTGAAAGATTAGGTTTTAATCATCAGTCATCATGTTTTTTATTATTACATGATCCAACAGGGCGTGTAAATCACTGCGAATGGTGACATCATACATCTGACTTGATTGCAGTAGTTGCAAGATGATTCTCCCTCTACAAGTTTACAAGAGAGCCAAATGCAATCCGAATTGAGCAGAACAATATAAATACAGTAGTGGATGATAATGACAATGATTAATCAAGGAGTTTGATTTCTAGTCCTAAACCTCACTATTGTCATCCACTACTTCTAAACCAAGGACGCGAATATCTAAACCATTATAAATATAAATACACTTGCGCTTTCTGTGCGCACCTGATTTAAACGGAAGATCGACAAACCTGTACCTCAAGAACAAGAGAGCGTGGTTAATGAATTTATTTTTAGACTCAGGAACCTATTTATATCGTTTGCAAAGTTAATGGGTTTTTCTATTGCGAACTAACCCAGTTACTTAATTTGTCATTTGAGTTCAGATCCCCCAACTTACCAGATATAGGAACTCTAAGTCGAACACTTTCAGCGTTCCGTATCCGATACAGAGACAGCGCGACGACATGTTGACACCAAAAAATGTCCCTTGTATCACACGTGCACGTTACGGAAGTTATTTTACACCTGAAACAAATTCAATTAAAACTCCTTTTGAAATAGGTGCTTGAATTGAAAACTTACCTATCAAAACTAACAGAAACTTTAAATTTATGTGGCGGTTCTGGCGCGCCACAAGGCAATGTGGCCGACGGGGTGGTTCTAGCAGCGGTTACGACACCGCTTAAGTGGAACCCTGCAACAAGAACAAAAAAAATTAAAAATGAAATATTATTCGACATTGTTCTCACGGTGAGCTTTATGGCATTTCTTCGAACAAAAAGCTCGCTGATGGTAGACTGGCCATAATAAATGGGTGCATGTTCATTTCGTGTGTTACATGACTGTCATAATAAGCGGGGCCATTTTGTCCGAAATTTATGAGGATGGGTGGGTTTTCCAGGAAGACCTCGCGGTTTAATGGCTCTATCAACATGTTTAAGTATGTAAGTTGAACCTGATGGGCGCAGTACAATCTAGTCTAGTGTGAAGGCAAATAATTATACTCAGTCAAATGTATTTGAATTTCAACTGACCTATACATGCATGGTAATGTGCCCAAGTTCAATGAGAGTAGTTTATTTTTACATTGAAATCAGGTAGGAGAGCGTCTGAGGGTGTGGTGTAAAAGTAATTGGATTCCGCTCAAAAATATTTAGTGAAATATAAGCGAACAAAGCCTACAAAGACTGCCAGGCTGAAACCTTGTGATTCAGACACAATGGCGCTTTTGCCCGGAGAACATTCAACCAAACTATATAAATACAACTTGTCTGGGAGGTATTATTATTGTCCGAATAAACCTTTTCGGAACAACGAATTGAGTTTCAGTAGCAGATGCGTAAAAATTTAACAGATCACTGTTCGAATTAAATTGAATTATAAGGTGCGGAAGCGGCAACGGCGCTTTCTTGTGTGTCGAGCCTCTGGTCTAGGTCATCGCCCCTCGTCCCGCTTCCGCGCTCCTCGTGACAGCCGTCAAGGCTGTTTTTGTTTATCTCGCTGTGGCACACGCACCACACCGCGCTGTTGCCGAGACTACGGTATTTTACGTCCATGGCCAACTAGACACCTTGACCAAGGTGTATTATTTTTGTGACCTTCGTTGTATTTGTGTGTTCCAGTTGATATAGCTTGAACGAAATCCGCTCATCTAACATTGATTAGACAATTTGACGTTTGATACACGCATTAAACGTCAGAAAGATTGTAAGTGTCATGTGTCATTAATTGATTTCGTTGGTGTCACATGAAATGAACTCGTTGCAAAACAATGTTTAACTTTTATAAAGTAAAGTTGTATCTTGTATCCCATCGATAAATGTTCTTGATCATTTTTTTTTTTTTAAATATTCATGTTGGCAACGTCGCGACACGCTCGCTACCGGTATGGCTCGGTGCATCCGGTCGTCCGTCGTCGGGTCGGTCTCAGCTACGCAATCATCATCGGCGACCGCGTCATCGGCGTGGGAATTTGTTGTTTACGCGTAATTCCGGAATGCACACTGGCTGGCTTAATAGTAACAACATTTTCATTCATTTGTTTTGTTTGTTTATACGCACATCTCTGACGTCATAGTTGTCCGACAAAAAAAAAATACTGACATTGATGTTTAGTGTTTTATTATTATGTTTTTATCAAGATGGCCGAAATATAATTTACTCTTGTCACATAAGTCAACTGTCAAAAGAAACCATTTAAAATTGAACAATTCTCACGGTATCATCATTTATCTACTAGAATTTCAGCTTGGGTGTGGTAGCGACGATCTTAAATAAAACAGGGGATGAAAGTTTTCCCTCTTTTGGGTCCCCCCCCTGAAGCGTCGATCCCAATTAAGCGCCGTGGCGTGCCGCCAGCGGTATCGGTTACGATCCAGGGCGGGATTCGTGTGAAAATTTTGAAATACTTTCAAAGCCTCAAAGACTTTTTTGATTCGCCATTATTGTAAAATCTGATCTTGAATACAGACATAGTTTTAATTGAATTTTTGAATCTAGGATGTTTGGCTCAGTTTTAAATTGTTGATCGCAAGTCAATGTAGACGTTTCGAATTGCAAACGCTCTTCACCCTTCCAAGAAAAGAAAGTCTGAAGATGAGAAAAATAGCGGACACATGGTGGGTGGTATCTAAGATGTATCCAAGGTTCCTGAAGTTAATAGATTGATTGTAATGGGAAACAGATCACTTTATTTGGGGTGCCTAATGGAGATATTGCATTATGTTTGGGCACTTCAGATGACGTAATGAAAGTTATCAGGGCTGGGACTCTTCAAGGGATATATATATTGTTATAGCACTTGCCGTCTTCTTTTCTCTTTTCGAAATCAATAGAGAGGGCACGTCAATGAACATAGCGAAAATATCTCTATTCGGTACAGAGTTCTACTGCAGGCAACCTCACCTTGGGTTGTATCGTGAACCTTGTCAAGCTTGTGTTTATGAAGGTAGACATAATGGATTTCAATCATTTGCAGCCAATCACCTTATTCATGTAGTATGTATTGTCAAGGGTTGACGCACCTGTCCATTTTTTGTCCGCATTCTTTCCGTCGGAAAATTTATATTTGCCAGACTTTATGAACCAAAATAAAGATACAGTTGCTGCCAGTTGGCTTCAAAATACTTATCCTATTTTTCTAATAAATAATTTCTATAAAATACTGTTCTCATACCACCTATTTAAGGCTATTTAAACATACTGGAATGGTGTATTATGTAGACTTCTTTACCGACCAATAGGAATCGTTCACAATGGCTCTGATCTTACTCTGACGCACATCTTTGATGCTTTTCTTGTTCAAACTCTAAAAAGTGACAATGACGACATGCTTCGTTCGTTATTTACATCCTGTTCTAGAATTTGAAAAAAAAAACTCACTTCTCCTCATTACTACTACCCAAATTTTCCCTTTAATCCGGCTCTGATTCTTAAAAGCACCTGAACAACCCTCACGATTTGTCATGGTGCAGCTCGGACAGGGGTCGGGGGTTTTTTGTTGTCTGACGGCGTCGGCGACGTCGCCTTTTGCTTCCTTTTTCGGTTCAGGTGCGAAACGGAATGCACCTCGGAATGCTTTCAAAATAGAAATAGACCGGACTAGAGAGAGAGGATTATTTTACATATGCGTCGACCCAAATACTGATGGGGACTAGACCAGTGGGGATTTTATTTTAATTGGTTTCTTCTCTGGATATTACAATTGTTTTGTGGAAATTATAGTCAATTAAAGGCGATTAGCCAGTCGCTTATTTTGACACATGAACAATGCATTTAACGTCATTTAATACCAATTGGTTGACAAATGACATCAGATGAACGATGCTTTTAACCTCATCAATGAACTATAACCGAAAACTGGAATGCTAACACATAAGGACGAACTTGAAGCCTAGTGCGGCTGCTGCGGAGGGGATACCTGTTTTTGTCGCACTCATTATGTTAAATGGCGAAAATTGCTTCCAACACGTATTACAATTGATGAAACCTGTGAAGGGAAATATGACAAAACTTTCGAAAACGTCATATGTCAGCAAGCAACAGAAAAAAACAGCATTCCCCTTTGTGGCATCTATCTTTCATGGCTACATTTTTTTGGCAGATATGGCAATGTGTGCGCATTCCAGTTTTTAGCTATAGTTCATTGAACCTCATATAATAAATTGGTTGACAAATGACGTTTGCTTCATTGGTTATCTGTCAACTATGAACGACCGGTTAATCGCCTTTAATCGATGTATGTGAATAGTTTGACGCAGTGACGCTTGGAAGTTCTCTGATTAGATTGTCAGGTTAGGTTTCATTTGTAGTTTGCAGGTAAAGTGAATTTGCCCACACATACACACCCTTCGATTATTTTATTCATTGTCACGTATTCTAGTTGGTTATCTAGGCATATAATAGTTATTTATGACATTAGGCCAAGAAGTAAGTCTTTTTTGCTGAGCTCATCAAGGCTTAGAGTTCATAAGAATAGTATTATCAACTACAGTATAGTATAGAATAAGAATAGTATTAATTATTAGACAATTATTGAGCGAATCACAAAAAGATCTTCGGAGCCGAATGGCAACATTTTATTTTCAAGGGACTGCAATGTTTTCTTTCACAACCAAATCCCAGCTTTTGTCATCCATTTTAGGAAAAATAAAAGGCTGTCAGCTGTCACTATAATTCACTTCAAATGTCAAATCGATATTAGGTCACTTGACTTGGTATGCAACACATTTCACTGTTTATAACATGGACGCTCTTGTAATTGAGCAGACACACCAACTTGATTATCCGTATTCATTTATGCAATAATTTGTTTTTAAATGTAGATTGTAGAACGAATAAATTAGTGCAAATTATAATATCCGAACTGATTTTGGCGAACATTCTAGTTCTAGTTAGGTAACAAAAGAACATTTTTGTCAAGTTTTCAAATGGCAAATTTGTTAAATGGGAAGGAAATTTAGTTGCAGATGAATGCTTGAATTGTGTCTTTTGATAGCAAAAAAGCTACATTTGGCTTTGCGAATCGCATAATCTCTACTGGAAATGAAAAGCGGGTAAAATGGAGGGGGAGTAACATTTGCCCTTTAGGGTTCGTGTTTTAAGAGACAATTGACTATCCCAAAAAAAGGTAGAAGGATTGTAGGGTGTTCATTTATACTGCTTTTCTTGCTTCAACCATATCGGCGTTCACTTGTCCCATATATAAGCTCATAAATAGCAGCTCCTAGCAGATCTTCCTGATATTTCGAGCAGGTAGAGCAAGTACAAATGAACACCCTGATAGTGTTTGTGGATAATGGCAGGGAATTTGCAGAGCTCATTCCAGATGGCGCAATTTTTGGTGGTGGTCAAGCATCCTAACCTCACATTATCTATTATAAACAGATCAAACATGATGCATTAAAAATATAATTAATAATGCCTCACTGTTGTTCGGTACCTTTATGTAATTCAAGAAATTTAGGTCATAGGATTCCCAAAGAAAAAACCCACTTGTGGTTCACTATGGTAGAGTAGATTACCGTCATAGTCGTCATCAATGACATATAAATTATGTATGGTTGACCTCCAAGGTTCCTAAAGTTAATAGGTTGACTGGTAATGGGTAACTTGATGACTTCATCCTAGGATGCCTTATGGAGATTCACATTATGTTGAGGCACCCAGATGACGACATAAAAGTTATCAGGCAACCTTCCACCCAAGGG